ATGGTGGTTTTTGGGCCAAAATGCTGACTGTTCTTTGAATAGGGTTAACGTATTGATGGGCCAATTTACGGTTCTTTTCATGAATTTATTACCACCACATTTATTGGACTACTCGAGTTTATTCCAGATATTTTTGTCAAAATATTTTACTGACGTTAGGTCCACTTGAACGGGGCTCAGAAAGCATTAATCTCACCCATTAAGGCACCGAAGCACTAGATGAAATTAATATTTTATTACATAGCCAGGATGTCATTAACAGTTAAATTCCTTTTTTTCCGTTTCCTAATTTGGACGTCAGGGGAGGAATGAAGTTCTGATCCAACTAAGAAACGGCAATTCGAAGGCTTCATTGATCATTTCACCGAAAAGAACTACCAAAAACCCACAGACTCGAGGAGAACAAAAAGTCATTGTAGGTTATGGTTGGTTGCGTTTTCGAAGTGACGTTATCGCAGGAAGCATAGCCGTCATACGGGAAACACGTCTAACTGACAAAATTCTTCACCGCACTGGTTTGCAGATAAGTGGAGGATGTCATACCCGATGGTGGTAATGGTCGTATTGGCAATCACAAACGCATGTAATTAGATTTTTGTAGTGGTGCTTCCGCTGCTAATCGGGACAATGTCGGGACAGCTTCTTAGAATTCCACAATGCAAACGAACACTTGCTGATTCGAGATTCACGACGTTGCAGAGTGGCCTACACATTTGAAAAGTATCTCTCAGAAACGCGCTTTATTGTACCATTGTTCATAATTTCTGTCGTCCATATCAAAAGGAATCTTTTAAACACACAGTTGCAGTGTTTATCTTACCGCTAATCAGAAAAGATCATATGATCCACTCGATTATTCAGTTTTGTTCACCACTTTTAACGCAAAAGATGTGGACCAACTTGGAATCACATCCGATGTACTTTACAAGGATTACATTACATCGGTTAAACCATGCCGTTTTACCATTGTCTGTCTGTTTCGAACAAACAAACAGCGTCTTATCAGTTCCGTGGGTAAATACTCTTGTTTTTGAGCACAGCGTGAGGCTAGCTGACGAAAGAAAAACAAAGATAACGGCTCCGACTAGGGTTGTTTACGTAGAAAATCTGCGTGATTCTTACTGAAATCATAAAGAAACAGTGAAATATTACGAATTTAAAAGCCATCTAAATCGGCAATAGCGCCTTTCACAGCGTACATGACATCGATGGATTGTATTCCGATGGGTTAGGAGGGAATAGAACAAAAATGCGATACTTGAAAATAAAGGTCTCGTTAGAAGAATCATTATTCACCGATGCCAGCGCGAAACGATTGTTGATTATTGATCCGACAGGTTGCCCCTAAAAAGTCTCTTCGGCTGTGACCTCCAGATGTCCAAAACACGTAAACTATGGGTTCTCTCTGACTTGAGAGGAAAATAAATATTCTGAACTCAGTTCTTGCATTCTTACACTTTTCTCGTATGGTTCGTGCGCCACCTGAACGTTTACTGAGCTTTTGGATTTTTCATCAAACCGTCTTCAAATATTTCTTATTTTCTCAGAAATTAAGATTTAACCAATTTACTTCCACAAATGAAAGGATGAGAGGGTACTAACTGGTCGTCCAGCCATGCCCCAGTTTTGCAAAATTTAATAACAGGTATCACCGCATGTACAATAACCGGATGCCAGCCTGTCCATGGCATCGAAAACTTGTCTTCACCAATCCAGTGTGGAGTTGACGTCATCTTAGTTGGTGAGGGCGCTTTTTATGGATTGACGACATGATGTTTTTTGTAAAATTCAGCAAACGTCAAACCACAGCGCACCCACGTCACACATCAAAACGGAGCAAAAATGAACTAAGCTCGTTTCAAAGTTTAATCAAGAATTGTTCCGACCACAGTGTCACTCGAAACAACTCTCGATTTTCAAATGCATATAGCTTGTTATATGGGGTGGTGCTCAATAACAATAAAAATTAAACATTTTCCTTGGATTTAATTTGAACTGAGGAATCAGTCGGCACCGTACACAAAAAGTTAATATCTTGCATACAAGTATTCATCAGAGTCCTCTCTTCCAGGCCACGCTATACACCTCGCCGCGGAGGTTAGTGACTTTGCTATGCTACCGCAATGACGTGATTAAGTGTGACCACGCACAGTAGACTATAACACGTGATTTACGAAAACTGCGTATAGACCATCAATCGTTGGTGCCACTATGCAGAAAATTTTCATGTTTCGTTCGAGTTTTCAACCCAAATTTTGTCGCCTGGTTTATTTCTCATTTCCGATGGAGACTCATCGCTTCGGTGTATTGCCGCCTGTGATCTGTGAAGCCTATCCCAAAATGTGATTCAATTAATGCTCCTCACGCGAGTCACTACTTGCTGTCTCGTCTTGTGATAACACGTTAACAGGGCATTATGATGTTTGAGAATTATGACTGCTGGCACTGTTTAAGCCGGTGCGAACCAACCTTAGTTATGTAGAAATAAATAAAAGCCCCTATGCTGACCTGAATAGAGGAGATTTAATTCTGGTTTGAACAATCGTCCTGATGTTCTGGCTCAATAATTCTGGTGATTCCACACCAGAGGGAGAGAAGCACTGGAATCGAGTTTCACTCTCATTAGAGCTCGTCAGCGGTGTATATCCAATAGCCGTGCCAAGAATTAACTTCTACACACTTGACGTGTGAGGCGAGCGTGCTACTTGACTGGGAAATCCAGACTGGCGGGCCACTCGATTGATACAATCAAGGTATGTTACTGTGTTGTTGTTTGAGGCGTCGGGTGTTCCGCTCACATTGTTCAGTCACGAACATGTTCGCCAGTTCAGACTTAAAATTTCGGATAAATCCAGTACGACGCTAAACCGGATCCGACACAAATTTTGGGCTTGATAATATTCACCTGCTGAGAATCTGTGTTGTTGAGGCGTCGGGTGTTCCGCTCACATTGTTCAGTCACGAACATGTTCGCCAGTTCAGACTTAAAATTTCGGATAAATCCAGTACGACGCTAAACCGGATCCGACACAAATTTTGGGCTTGATAATATTCACCTGCTGAGAATTGACAAGCCGGGTACCAGCTAGGGACACTGGTGCTCGGTTCGTATTTCAGATACCCGCGGTTGAATCCTTGCTGCAGCTGAGAACTGGCATTACAGAATGAGCTCTTACTCGGAAGAAACTCGAGTTCATTGCTACCATGATGTCTGTATGGACCAACGTGAACAGCCGTCCCGGGAAAGCGAAAAGACTGAATGATTCAGTTGTCAATATACCCTACTGGAAAATGCTTTTCAACTTAATAGTCACTAAGACAAATGCTTAAAAGTCCTTTCTGCTTTTTTATGTATGATAACTTTGTCGATTTTGTTCACAGTTAGAATTAGGAAGCATTTGGGATTACTGCTTTACCAAGAATTTTACAAACTCTCACTTTCGTGTTACTCATGAACGATAGACTCTACTGAGAACAAAACACCTCCACCTTTTTACATCTTAGACAGAACATCATGCCAATCCTACTATTGGTCGGTGAATAACTTTTCGAATTCCACGTCGTTCTCGTTTGTAGTCTGTCTCCTGTGAAAACGCGATTATTCTGACGAATCCGCGGCAAATGTGGGAAGTACTGAACTATACCATTGCCCTAGCAAAATCAGTTTGGTTTTGTGAGATACTCACCTGGAACCCAGATTAATCTATTGTTGATGATGTTTTTAAGCTCTCTCCTGGGTCCACCAGCAATAAAATTGCGTCGGGATTTAAATCCTGCACAGCTGAAATGTTACTGCACCCGCTGAATTATTGTGTGGAAGGGCGAGCACTTTCGCAACAACCTGACAACAAAACAACGGGGCGATGATTACGCAGGCTGCGTTGCACGAATAACCTGTCTGCCGGAAATCCAATTTCGGTTCAAGTGCTTTACTTCAAGAAACCTCCAACAAGAGCAAAACTTTTTTCGGCACTTTATCTTACTTAGTATTGACTAGTATGGTAATTTCAGTAGCCTGCAAGCAGAAGGTCGACCGAAAATCTGGATCTATTCGTGTGAGTAAGAATATTATTGTTTATCGTCTAATTGCTCAGGCTATCACTCTTAGCCTGCGCACACAATGTCTTTTATACAATGAATAGAAATCATCATACCATTCTGAATCAACACACAGAATGGCCTTTTACCATGGTTTATTCTGCCCCAATCATTTTGTCACTAGGGATTTTCAAGGGAGACAGATACAAAGGCAAATGCTGTCACCTACTGCAAGACAAAATAACAGCCTTTAATTATTTATTACTCAGCAATAAACTCTCATTCTGAACGGTCACTTTGTTGACGCTCAGTCCCTAAGGTTCCCTTGCCAACTGAAGGATTTTCGTGCATTATTCAGGTAGGCAAACTTAAAAGATTGTAATCTACATCACGTCGGAAGTCGACCAATGAGAGTACCATTTCTTGGATCCAATTAAATACACGATGAACAAGAGAAACATTTCGTCAAGGACAGCACTTACCCTCTACCATGGACCAGAGCATCTGTGAGTTTAGCGCACATCTTGAGCGAATACATCAAATCTCCGGTAAGCCTTCTCTCAATGATATTTTGAAAGATAATTTGGTTCTCCATTACACATGCGAAGCGAAATGTACTCATTATCAGTAGTGGTGAGAATACTGTTAATAAGCCCCGAAAGTCTTGTTTAATTGTTTCATTTAGATCACCATATCATAAGCATTTCTGATAAAGATTTACCCATTTCGGCCACTTTATCCCTAGTTTACGTGATATACCCTAGGCCTGCTCGGATAACATTTACTGTATAGCCCTTCTAAGACTAAGCTAATTCGGCTAACGGTCTAGTTTAACCCCTGAAGCTTTCTGAAGTTGCCATGAGATGCTGGCTACCTAGATTAACGCACAAGCGTTTATTTCTACCCCGAACTAAAAATAAACTTTAAATCAAACAAGCAACTGTATTCGTTCTACATTCCAGCAGACCACTTAAATACGTTGACGACAACCCCTGAAACAGATGTAAAGAACGCTGCAAGGTGGGAACAAAATCGTAAACTAAAATTTTTGGAAAACGGAGAGGAAGGAGAGCTAAACGATTTGCTACAGGATAAATTGCTCGGTGTTCATTATTCCGCAGCTATCCAATCGGAGGACGCGGTGGAGCAGAAAGAAGACCCCCAAGATATTATGACAACTTGGTACAGAAAATATTGTAAAAAGCATAAGGTCCGGGCACGTCTACCCGTTCTAAAGCGAATCAGATACGCATGCAACCACCTGAACTTTAAACTTCAGGAGTTGGGTTTAACGAGAGACGAATTTCTTCCTTTAATTTGCCTGATTCAAGTAAGTTTACCACTATTTATATATGGATAAAATATTGTTTGGTTTCAAAAATATATCTGTTGTTGATTTTTATCAAGATTTTAAGAAGTTATAAAGGGCTCACGCTATTGATTTTTCCCTTCCACAGTTTCAGGGAAAAACTTCCACAATACGGCACCATTTGAGTATAACTGCTGCAAACACACATCATGCAATAGTACCGCCTTGCTAGATACAAACTTAGGCTTCATTCTTAACGATTCTTAGTGATTTAAGCCGATTGTTACTAACCCTGGCAGCTAAAGTTGATTCGGTGTATTTACCCTCTCACTTATCCTCATCCAGTGAAAAGGGGATACAGGTCGGTTTGCTAGATATTTGAGACTTGGCCTACAAACGGCTTCACGCCTTTAACCAGGAACTTGAAATTCCTATACTCTGTAAATCTATCTATTAAGTTATACGTTGAACCGACTCCAATTAGCGGATGTTGAGATTTATATCTTAAGATGAGTTGGGACTTCCGTAGGTGGAACAGTTTTTTAAAGATCTTAATTTGGATATGTATGGTTGTTATGAGGTTTTGAAACATTTTCTCCTTTCATAGGGCTTAAAAAATTTTAGAGGTCCAAAGGTAATTGATATTTTGTGCGCGAAGTCTGGCTCGTCGAGGTTTGCCGATGTTATTCTGACATGTACCTCCCAAACACAAGGTATATCCAACTGGGTTACATAATTTTGGACAAAAGTGATATGCACTCCACTTGAAGGTCCAGCTAGCTCAACCCTTTTAATCCCGACTTATCTAACGTTCTTACAGTGTATGCTAGAGTGAGTCGAGGATATTGGAAACCGGACAATTTGATTGCCTCACCGCAAGCCTCATGTTCTGTGATTTTTAAAGAGGGTGTGTTGAGCAATACAGAGTGTCGTTATTTATTCTTCTGGTCAATATAAATTCAAGAGCAAAAAACACACTTAGAATGGAAATTATAGTGAGAATATGTGGGTAGTAAATGACTGATGGCAACTAGACACCAATCATCCCTATTGGCAGTGCACCATTACCTTTAAGTATACCATTTAATTATATCGCCAAGGACGCAAGACATTTCTGCTTCCATTTCCTCTTAATACTGATATATTAGGGTTGTGCAGACCAATGTCTAATCCAACCCTGTGATGCTTATTCGGCTTGGAGAAGGCTATTTTCCTTGGGGCAAATTTAAATAAACCGGTCTTTAATCCCACGAGTAGTTGCAGTCTTAACCAAACCTTATTTAACCTAAAGTAAAATATATTCCTTGTTTACCGACCGTTTGGGCATAAGTAAACTACGCGTTCTTCAATCTGGCTTGTGATTTAAGTGCGCTGGACTTACTGTGGTGGCGAAACATCGGACCCCGGGCAGCCGAGTGAGCGAGGTCTTGGACCTCCGTTTCGAAGATGCCGCCTCAAACACAACAATTGTGCCCCAAATTTTACAAATTATGCATGCCTTGATTCGGATGTAAAAAGTCCATTCGTAAACTTTACGAATTGCATGCAAATATACAAGGTAATCTTAGTTTGCTCGGAAATGCATGGGGCCATTTATATGCCTCTTGTTTTCAGCAGCCTACGCGGAACATTGTTCAAACTACGAGGGAAATTTAGATTGCAAATTGCTTTGGTGTTAGCGGCAGCCTCAGGTGTATGTACTCTTGGCAGGATATTTAAGATAGTGCATAATGTTGCACTGAGTTTTTCTTGAAGACATCGATAGCTCATTGTTTGCTTCATTTTTTCAAGGGAATACACTGCCTAGATAACCTCCATTGCATTATCCAGTTAAACTGTCGTTGCACAGTAATTTTTTGTTACCCATTGTGATATGCCCTGCAGTCTGACAGCACCCTTTTGTGCCACACCATATCTTCATCTCGGATCTGTTATTTTCTCTTTCTGCCTTTCGCACACCAATGGAGACATATCTGTATTGGTAAAAAATCTTTTGTTAAGTTCACAGGCATTCCAACGGTAAGTATTGAGCTACTTATTTAAGGGCGAATTTGGGGCCACAGTAAGTGCTAAAAATACCTCACTTTTAGCTGCACCTGAAGTTGAATTCGCGTCCATTTTATTGTCTTGTTCAAGCGTTCACCTGCAAGAACAACCATTCATTGCAATAAAAGGATTCTTGACGCCTCCCGTTTGATCCACTTTTACAAAAATCCAGGAATAACCTCCCCCAGATTGCGTTATCTCCTGTTGAACTACCCCTCCTTTAGGCCGATGTGGTCTTGTTGATCCATATTTTACGCTTTGTTAATTGAACGCAAGGTAGCGTTATTGGGTAGATTTTAGAGAACGCTCGACCGAACGAATAACACATTCTGAAATCTCTTCTATACGGTTAGCGATCAGGCTGTATCTCTGGATTATGAGCCCTGGTAGGGAAATACAATAAGTGACAAACACCTTGCCTGTGATCCCTTAATATCTGTTTGTCGCTGAAATAACTGACACATCAGACCTACCTGCCTTTGAGTGAACTTGATGGACATAAGACTGTTTGACGTAAAGCCTAAGGACCAGTATTTTAAGCCCGTTAATGAAAATATATGCGCAGTTGCGGTTAAGTTGGTTCATTTCTCCTCTGTTTCATATGGAAAGCAAATGTTAGGTCAACTTATTATCTTTATATTAGCATCTTCATGACCTTCCCGTATCAGCTGACGTAAATGTTGAATTACTGTAAATTTCAGGAATGTGGTCGCGTTGAAGAGGTGGATTTCAGTTTCAACAGCGTTGGTGCCTTTGGATTGAAAGTTATCAGGCCAATTCTTTTGAAAAATCCTTTTCTCGTTGCTCTAGTAAGTTACACCTAACGACAAACTGGAAGGTTTATCCGTTCGTTCTTATCCCATTTGCTCTGAGCACCCGAGCTCATTCATTTTGGTTGGAGATGCAACTACCAAAGTTGCTCTTTGTGTTACCTTCTGGAACCATCAAACCAGTTTGTTAGTTCTGCAATGTAGCTAATCAGTGAAGACGATTTAAAAATATTTTCAGCACAGGCAGTTTGAGCATTTATATACTTTTGATATTCAGCTATCATGATTGGTATATCTGATCTTCTAAATTAGAACTGGCTTCCTACAGGGGATTATAAACCAATAGGTATAATAGATTTTGCATCAATTTCACCCAGCATCTTCAAGCACTTCAAAACCACCGTAATAGCTACTTTGGGATGAGCTTTCTGCCCACAAGGAATCATGTAAGTTTGTACACTGGTTCTCATTTCGACTAATTTGATGTTCTTCGTCCGCTACCTAAATGATTGGTGTGTAGGCAATTAAATTAAGTTAAGCAGGCTTGGGCAACTTAACAAGTTAGCATGGCGAAAAGGACAATGCCACTTTTTTTCGTCCTTTTAAGAAAAAAATCAATTACATGACCTTTAAAATGGATTAAACAGTTGCCTTCTGAAAGAAAACCATATAGTTGAATTGTTGTTAACAATGGAAGTCAGCTTTTTGTAATAGCAGGCAGTTAGTAGCTCACCGACTTCATTGATGTTCTGACCAGCTGTCCCGACTGAACCAGTTATCAATCGCCTGTTATAATCATTATTTTACGCAACATTTGGCCTCACCACGTTTTTGGTACATTTGACCGTGGAGGAAAATTTGTGCTCTCACAAAAGATGCCTAACCTGGTGGAAAGAGAACTTCAGGCAAGCCAGTTTACAGGCAACGTTCAAAACAACCAGCTGCAGATATGGGTTACCGACTATAAATATGGTACGTCGGTCACTCATGTGAAATTTGGTGTCAACGGGCATTTGTCAAAACAGCTGAGCTATAGAATTTTCGTCAACCTTTGTAGTTATGGTGATGTTGATTACGTCTGCATCAACGCAACCGTCTACAATGCGAAAGGAAGAAACCTGGAATATTTAGCAAAACAATTTACGGGCTGCACGGTCTATTGTTCAATAGGAGTATGCGCCTGCCCACATGGACAGTGAACATGATATGAGTTCTAACCAATTTCTTTAGGTAAGAGTTTAGTAAATGGCACACAAAATAATCTAAGATTCACTGATAATTGACGCAAGTATATTTTCGGGAAAAGATATTCTGTGCCACACCTACCTAAGGAGGTCACAAAATAGTTTAGCAGTTCTAAGTACGATAATCAACTATATGTAGATGGTTTCGAAAGTACCACAGGCTTGAGGCCATTAGCTTTCTCGCTTAAACAGTTCGCAATATTACCTTACACTGCATTTATTCCTTATGGAATCAACTATATGTAGATGGTTTCGAAAGCACCACAGGTTTGAGGCCATTCGCTTTCTCGCTACTGTCTGAGTGCCTCATTCACCATAATAGATGACTTAAATAGTTCGCATTATTACCTTACACTGCATTTATTCCTTATGCATTCACCCCCATGAAGCCATCTTGAACAGAAACATGAGAAACACGGCAAAATGTATGCCACCATCCGAGGTTATCTATCTAGGTGTGTGACAGCAAATATGTTTAACGGTCAAGATTTTTTGACACTATTTAACTGACTACTTCTTGATGAATATCTGAAAATCAAGCTACTCATTGGTCTTGCCAACGTGAATAGTCCAGAATAAAACCATAACCTGGATGGAACACCTCATTACCCTTTGCTCATATGACCCAACTGTAGTTCGCACGGACGCTTTGAATTGGTCAACTAGGTATAATTCGGTGAATACTACCTTAATTTGACGGAACAAAAGGACCTCAAGTTGCATTGCCCCAAATGTCATCGGGAGTGAAATTGAGGTTTGAAGCTGAATTAGTATGATAACCACTACCCTAACAATCCTTCACTCTATGTTTCACTTTTGACGAGGCTATGTTTGATCAAATAACTAACAAAAACCTTGATGAAACACGCTTTTATTTATCTTACCTAAGCTATAAATTGAAACAGTCCCCACAGTAATATGTGCAAGGAAAGATCGATATCCCGACGAAACTTTGGGGGAATGACTGAATGCTTTTGCGAGAAAAATAATGTTGATGCAAATTACTAGCTCACCCCGCTTATGCCAACCGGTGTGTCACGAGGAGCCTATGTGTGTTTACCCAATAAAATTACCCCCTTGATTCACGTCACAATCAGCCTTTTGACATAACATAAGGGTTGGTACGAGGCAAGTAGGCTGGAAGTTGTATGCTTTGTAGGAGCTTGCAGTGTGGCAACCGTTGTCCAGCGATGAATCCGTTTCAAATGTCATCTGTTAATGTTTGGACACGGCTAAAATTACGCTCATCACGACAAAGACTGGACGCTGCTCAAGGGTTAGCTTTTTTATCCGAAATCACTGGAAACTAGTGATAGTGTTTGGTCCCTTAGTGGCAAGGGATGCCGTCACTAGATGGATTGTCGTGTGACTGATTACTCTATTATTGGTTGATTGAATGGGAACGATTTGAATTTTGCATGGATGTTGCGAGCAGTTAACTAGTGTAGCTAAGCGTGAACTTTTATATGGCTCATTGCTTCTATTTGAAAGCAAAGTTGTGAACCAAGGTGGGTTAAAGTTCAGACGAAGATCCTTTTTCAGTGTTTTTGTGGCTAATCCTTATTCTCACTATAATTCATTTTCTTAGGTTGTGGTTTCGATGGGATTAATAAGTCGTTGTTCGATAATTCCTACATCCATTTTGTTCCTTTTAGAACCTGGCTGGATCAAAACTGGGAGCTGAAGGGGCTGCTGCCATCGGAGACATTTTGGCCGAAAACACGCCTCTGGAGGTCTTAAATTTGAGCAGTGCGTCTGACATTTTTGTATCTTGCTGTTCGGTTTCAAAGACTAAATGTAAAACATGTACACTGCAGGCAATATCAGATTTCACATACATACTTATTGACATTTATTTCTTAAGATAAAGTCAGATCCGTAAAGGTGAGCGTTGGTGACTGTGGAACAAAACAAAACGAACGGACTCTTTGGGAGGATATGTTACAAATCATCAAAAAGCATTTCGCTCACTGTTTTATCTTAAATTGCGACCAGTGACTAGGTCAGCGGTTTGACTTTGCAGAACTAATAAGGGATGCCGGAAAATATCATTTTTTACCAAGAATGTTTAATATTCTATGCTTGACAACCAAATTCCTCACAAAATTAATGCAGATGAGCATAGAGTAACGAGAACTACTTCGTCGCTCTGTTATCATCTGGGCTAGGGGAAGTTTTAGTGTTTAGTAGCTGCTGCATAGTGTAATGAAGGCGGCCAAATCCAAAAACGGGAATGACTGTTAATTTTCATCCAAACTAGCTTGTAAATGTCTCGAACATGATATATTCTAGAGTGAAACTACTTACTTACTTCATATTATAGGTGTTATTATAGGTGTTTATAGGTGTTTATCTGCCCCTTGATTAGTTGTGTGTTTTGATATTTCTGCATAAAGTTGGCAATGCCGGACTGTTTCAAGCGAAGGACTTGTAATTTATTTGGGGCCGTCCCATCAGGAACTGATGAGAAACAAACCACCGTCGGTAACCACCAGGGAGGACACCTGGCGTGACTATCAGTCAACAAACTATAGCGCCCCAGATGGTATGTACTCAAGTTCCAAAATTAGTCTTAATATGCTTTCTCGAAGCTCATAAATCTACAGTTTTAAATCCGATGTGTCATCTTTGATTGGCCTTACTAGGGGCGAAATCTACGTGATGTGCTCATTCTATGTGGACTAACCAGAATAAATGCGGTGCTCAATACTGAATGCGATATTTTCAACACCATGGTCGTCTAGCTGCGTAGGGAAGCAAACTATGAAGAAACACTCCATTAATACACAGTAAACCATATATTAAATTTTGAGCGTATGCTGACGATAAAACATTGTCAATGGTTGAAACCAACTATATACAGTTAATTTTACTGTGGACTGAACAGTAACGTCGTTCAACTGCTCAAACAGCGTGCAATAAAATGTTAACGGGTCATATATGAATTTTTATGTTTCTCAAGACAAACCGAACCCGAAGACTTTTGCACAGACTTTACCTGATTACATCCTCTCTCCAGCTAGTGCGGGGATCTCGCATTCCAGTACCCACATAGTCTTTATTTTTCTGTTCAGGAGTGTTACGCGGTGTCCGAAAAAACGTTCTTTATTAAATACCCCAGCCATTTGTCGAAATGAACGTCCCAAAGATGATTTATAACACATTCATTAGATAAACCACTGACAACCTCATGCGGATAAGCTACTCTGCACGTAATGCAAGCGGATAACTTAGCTTCACTAAAACAGTGGGCTTCTGTGTAATAGAAGCAGACAACTGCGTGTGCAAGTATTGGTCGAAGGAAGTTTTACTGCAAAAAACCAGAATGAAACTCTACAACGTAACCGGTAGTTTTTGTCCATCAACTGAAGTTTACTGAGGTACAAGTAATGTACGGCATGGATGAGAAATTGTTTCTGTGAGATGTTGCTAAACTTGTTCCCTTGAGCCTTGTGAACCGGATGTGTACAGTGAAAACAAAAACACACCACATGACTGTCAGTCACCTGAATGGTTATTGACGTTGGACTTGCGAGATGTACCTGAGTAACCTGGAATGCCTTGGGACCTGGTTCGTTCCTCTCGTCCGATGAGGAGCCCTAAGTATTTGTTATCTTTCGGATGTGACACATCGTTCCAGATGCATGAGCGATGGCTTTGTCGTGTAGTTTGACGAGATTCAGAAGAAACTTTTGATCTAAGTTTTGAAAAATCATCCACTACTTCCGACCTTTATTTTCTTTCTCTGAAGATAATTGCATCACAGACAGCTCAATTGTTCGAATCTCAAATGGACTGAAGGTAGGTTTTTTGATAATGTCTTTGATCCGGCTTTTTAAAATTGTCGGGCTTACAGTGGATAGGATTTTCAATAAATGCTCGACTGTAACACGGCTTCGGTTCATACCTGCCATGCCCTCGAAAGAAACACGAAGACTAAAGTACTGCCACGATGCGCAAGTCTAGAAGGGAGCAGTCTAGATGCTGATTCTGCGTTCAAACCACGAATCTTTCGTCAGTTATTTCGAGCCCTAAATCATGAGCTTAGAAGGTCAATGAAGAAACACGAAGACTAAAGTACTGCCACGATGCGCAAGTCTAGAAGGGAGCAGTCTAGATGCTGATTCTGCGTTCAAACCACGAATCTTTCGTCAGTTATTTCGAGCCCTAAATCATGAGCTTAGAAGGTCAATGACCTTGGGTGACTGTTGAATTTTGAGAATTAAAGTATGACCTTCCGTTTACGGATAATGTTTTTCTTCCCGGAAGGTTTACTTAACTGTGCATAACTCTGGACGTGTGCGGCTAACTCGGTTGCATCTTTGTGTGACAGCTTGTCATGTTAGGGTTTTTCATGGTCCCGGATGTTGTTCCTTCAGTGAAATCATGCGCATACACGACAAAAAGGTCAATTCAACTGTAAAGTCTACGAATTTGCTTCACCGGCGATGGGAACACTTTCATATGCCACTGTTCAGATGTCAGTGTAGAGAGGTTCGTTGACAATCAACTTCCGTGTGCAATAAAAGGCTAGGAATTCACGCGATCTAGCTATACTTGTGTAGATCTACGCTAGAGCATCTCTAAAAGACCATTTGTGAGACTTCGTCTAGGAAAACCAATTTACCGGGTCAAGTCTGCTTTAAAGGCCGTGTATACAACACCTATATGGAAAAAAGTAGAGAACAAACGAGATTCATATACGTTTGGCTTACAGCGCTCACATCAGAAGAACTGATTTATGGAGCAACTGAACCTCTCAGAATGTGTTAGGTCCAGAGTAGGCATGGATTGTGCATGCATTCTAACCGGATTAGCCCAGAGGATGCTCAGCCTTTGTAAGAATAGTTCCTATATTGACAACTTAAAGAACCAAGAAAACCAAAAGTGACTTTACAGTTTTGAATCACCTGTTGAATCTGAAGTAAACCTGGTAAACAAGTTAAATTTTGATAAAACTTTGGGCATACTCGCAATAACGACACATCTTGATTTCATCAGTAGACCGTTTGAACTGTGTTAGTTTTTATTCGACTCCACACTTTAGGATTTTCATGTTCAGTCTTCACTGTAAAAACAAATACACACCATCTATGTTTCAGAAGGACCACTATTAATAAATGACAATGAAATTTCTGGAAATACTCCTCATTTTAGAAGAATACGAGACTTCGGAAATTGGACTTGTCTCGCAACTCCATCGAATCCCAAGAACCTGCATCCCTAGCAAAGGCACTATGCAAGTCTTGTTTAAATTCAAGCCTGACCATCTACAGACACGAATTCAACTTTAAACCGATTGAGCCTGCACTGGAATAAAATTCACTCGAATGGCGCGGTGGAGTTCGCGAAAATGCTCAAAGTGGGTTTTGCTTTGACTGGAACCATATGAATACATGGTTTTTATAACATCTTCGTAATCAAGTTTTATACGTACATCACGCACTAAAAATTGTATCGCGATTCAGGCTTCTTCCTGCAATCGGCCTTTTACTTCCTCCTGTTTCTCACTGTTTACGATGTATGGGTAGAGTTCACAGATTCAGCCTGAGTTTGAGTGTGGACTTTAATTTCTCAAACACTGGAATAAATCTCGAATACATTTCTAATTGGATGTCCAGGGAACATCGTTGACGGACTTTTTCAAGCTATCATGAGCTACAATGCATCGGTAAAGAGAACTCTTTGCTTGAATTTCATTCTGTAACTGAGATTATCTCTTTGCGTGAAGCTAAGATGTACACGCTAACAAATTCAACATTGTGCATAAACATCAGCAGTGTGCGTTTTAAGATTCAGGAGTGGGATTCACCACCTATAGTTTGGTAGACTGTATCCTTCGCAGTTAGATTTCAGGATCCAGATTAGCACTGTCGTCAACATATACTTAATTAAAATATAGTAACATTAAAACTTCACTCACCAATCCCAGGTTACTGACAAGCCTCTCAAGTTACGATTAGAGAAAGATCCACATGTGCTGTAAGATGTTTTCCTTTCAGATCAGATTACCCGAGACATTATGATCGGTCCAGCTTTCAATAAACTTTGGTCCCAAAGTTTAGCATCTTTCCAAGACCTGTAAATCATTCTTCAGCAAACGGACATGGTTTACACTAAAATTTCGGTCCATTCCCCAGAGCGTTCATTCCTTCCGATTACCGTAGCAACCGCCTAGATTCACTCCCTGTATGACCAGATTGTGCCTTTACTTTTGGTGGTATCCGTCGGCTGGCCAGCACCATAGTCAGCAAATGAACGTATTCACGAAAAATGAATTTCCCAGATTTGCCTGCCCACTTCAGCTGTGCTAAGCTTCGTAAATAGTATGTGAATGCAATTCCAGCCCATTTCGTTCTTGTTTCTCACTATGGTGGTAGGAGACTTGGATTTTCAAAAGTACATAAGGGAAAGAAACTGACCAAATCGGTATTTGGTCGTTCGGTCCTCAAACGATGTGAAACACAAAGGACTTGAAGGCGATTAAACCGGTGCGAAGCAATTTTGAGAGGAACACACAGTTTATCGTATTCGGTTGGAACGCCCCAGGTAAACCAGGTTAGATAGGAATGCCCACCTGACCAATTGAAACAAGCTTCATGCCCTGAGATGGTCTTCATATCTCTAGTCTGTTGCGAAATTAGCCATTTTCATAATCACAAGACCACACATTCACATAAGACTGGTCCAGTTCGGACATTCGGTATGATGAAAACGCCCCATGGAACGCGCAATTTATATCAATTTATCCTCCGGCATCCTCATGTGAAGAGCGAAAAAGCAATAAAAGGAATTTTTCATACATGTATTCACTCTGCCCTCAATAAGCCTTCCCATAATTCAAAAATGGTTGTACATATTAACTGTGTGGCTCTTTGCGCAGGGGATTTCCTCACACTTTGCTATGAACATCCTCCTGAAAGTGTGGCACACGTCCCAAAATTCGATTCTTGACGGTCACTTGTATTCTTATTGGCGAAATACTCCGAAATAGTAAGATTGCTCCGTTTTCAGAAAGCGCTGCATCCCTAGACATTCTTCCGAATTGGACACATTGACTTATCCCGCTGGCCGTTTATTCATGATCACTAGGAGAAAATAGGAAACCAAATGTGAGCCTTTAAATGAACACTTATCGCTCCGTCGTTCAGAATAAAGAGATATTGATAAGAATCATCATTCGTACATCATTAAGACATACTTAATTTCTTTATACCTTGTAATTGATACATCAAACTTACTTTTTTACATTGAAGATGGCCTGCTTATAAATTTCAGTTGTGGCGACTTGTGTCAGAAAGGAAGTTGTTTTTCTCTGTTGTTGCTACTTTTTCGGAAGTGCTTTTTCGTCTTTGTGGCAAATAGACATATAAATGTGTAAACATTACCTAGCTTGTTACCAGCGTTTCCGGAATTTACACGATGCTAGAATCCAAATGTTCCCATTTAAACGTTTTGTGGGAGACCATTTTGTGGATAAAGCGGCAGAGGCTTTACCTGGTCGCCTCATTCACCATTTTGTTAAGCACACTGGTTTATCTTTAGTTCCCTTCAAACGTAACCCATTAGTGTTGAGTTAATTCTAGCTGGCCAATGCTTAAGGTAGCAGCTTTCTTGAACCTATCCATTCTGACGCAGTATCAGAAGCACACACTGTCGCATCATTTACTGACGTTCTTAGTAAGACGTGAAATCATTTGTGCTGGGTGCTTTTCGTGACTTGCATAAAACTCCAAAGCAACGTGATAAAAGAGTTGTTTCTACTTCTGAACCTGACTCATTTTACACAATGGTATCTTTATGCGTTTGATTCCACTGAATAGTTGTTTTGTGATATTCTAGACAGTTCTGTTTCAAACCGATACAACTACAAGTGGCCATTTAAAGAGCTTGCGACTGACATCAGTAATGTTTATACTAACCACAGTTGTCAGAAAAAGGTTCATCTAAGTATATTACTACACATCTTGTTTTATCGTTTCATGCAGTATAACAAGGGGTTGCATCTGTTGGACCTCTCGTGGAATGGTTTCGCACTACGTGGGACAGAAGCACTATGCGAAGGACTGACGCGGAACAATTCACTAGAAGAGCTTGACCTAAAGTCAAATCGGATTGAACTGCGGGCGGTTCTACCTTTGACCAAGGCATTACAGCAAAATTCAACGCTAAAAGTTTTGCGCGTATGTGGTTGACCATCACTTACAGATTATCTACGCATTTATTTGATGTTTAATAGAACGTCACCAATCATGTGATTAAATAACATTCTGAACTTGGAAAATACATCTGATCAATTGGCACAGATGACTGAAAGTGCAGAAGCGCCTGGGATTCCTGATGAATGCAAATTACATGCATAAAACTTCTGGATAACTTGATGGAGTGTGGTAGAAGCTCGCAGTTTTACTAATTCTTTAATCCGAAAGAATAAATGAGCGCATCCTTTTTGGGGGGATGCTTCACAAAAATTGTAATTTTGGAAAATTCAGCGTTAAGAAACGTGGGATAAACACACGTAGGATTATTTGAGGATTCAACCAAAGCAAGACCAAGTGAAGCACAAGAATTAGGTCGTGCCGCCTAGAGTCAGTCGCGTCTTGAAACCAACTGTTTGTTACAGTTAGGATACCGCATAGTGACATGCTCCATCCAAATCATGTGCAGTGTGCTTGACAGCTAGTACAAACACACGAACATATTCAGTGTGTACATCTAATTTGTCACGTTTGATATTTTGTTATACTGTAGGGATTCCATGCAGCTAGTGCCCGGTCGAATCCCCATTTAAGAATGATACAACCTGGTCGCCGTCTTGGTGACATTTGTTGGTAACCACTCACAATTCTGAACAAAATTCATTACATTCACAAACATCATAAATATCTGACGTCCGCCTGTTATTGATTCAACATTTTTGCGAGTCACCATGGCGACGTATTACAACTGTTATTTTATTCCAGCTTGGTTTGAATCCTCTGACAGTGAGTGGTGTTCACCAACTATTGCATATACTTGAACATACAGCAACAAGCGGACTGACGGTTTTAGACCTAGAGGTGAGATTTTCTATGTTGCTTATTACATCATACATTCGCAAATCTCCAAACATTTTGTTGAGAAAAAAAGTGACATCTAGGTCCATGTAGGCAAATCAGTTGAACCCGAAGGTGGTTTTCACTCGTTCCTAATTTTTATATGTGCCTGTAGATTCTGTACATGTTGTTTTTCTTGGATGCCCTCGTTTCCTGAGAACCCTGGGAAATTTCCTATTTCATCTTATTTCGCAGCATCATAAAACCTAACGTGTCAGTGAGAAACTACACTGAATTTCGTCGGTTCATATATGCCCGCCTCCCTAGCCATTTTTACTAGCAACCTCAGGCTGTGCAACGTAGATTACAACCCAATAGACAGTAGGCAGTTTCGTTACCCTATTCCGGATTAGTCAGCTAAAGAGCACTCAAACGTCGGCCCGAAAGAGGGATTTTTTCGTTCCTAATAGTCATCTTCTTTTTCGGCCTCTTGACTGATGATTCAACTGTTGACATGCAACTGCCTTCTCCTGACATTCACTTCCGTTTCTACACTACAGATCATTTCTCTTATAAACGTACACTTTCCTCAAAAAATGTACATGCAGTGACTAACCAATCAGCTTCACTCATTGCTAAGAAAATTGTTATTTTTTGCACGCCTTACACCTCGCTTTTCTTCTAAATTAAGGGATATTTTGATGGATTCTGGATGTGTTTCACAGTGTCCCGGTAAAAGTGGTCAAGTATTTGGAGGAACACTTTCAATGAACTCATTAAATCAAACATCAATTTCACAATTTTTTGAGGTAATCATGACGGCTAGAGAACTAATTCACCTGATCCACAATAGATAACAACAGCTAAGCTGAGAAATTTAGCTTAACTGTCAATTTTCGTACTTGTTGGTCAATGTTATTTCCCCTTTGGTTCAATACAGGGCATGCAACTCACTGAAAAACTCACCCAAATCGCCCATCGAATTTCGAATTTGAGACGATTCACCTTGCTGAATGAAAACTGCGTCTCTTGGGAAACTCGCGGAGGAAAGTATGGTGGGTAACCGCTTAAGCTGTCTTGATTTGCTGCTTCTGTTCTGTTTAGTATGCGTGAAAAAGTTTCGTTTTTGGGTGGAACAACATTCGTAAACATGCAAGTTTTATTTGGGTTTCTTTTCTAACTCTACGCACTCTGCTCGGCTTTCGCACGCGAAATTTGCCACCACTCGACAAACTACCATTCGGAAGGAGGAATCGGATTTGGAAATCCTTAAGAAGCATTCCAAATCAGGCCGATTCTTTAAGTATTTGCAATGTTTATTCTTGGCAGCGATTCATGTTTGCCCTTAATGAAATGCCCCAGCATAAACATCACAACCGGAAATTGAAAGCCAACGTATGACATCGTGTTTGTCGGATGTTTCCCTGATACCTTCGCTGAAGAGCTGAGAAGTGCTGTAGAGTTGCTTCATCCTTATTAGAAATCATCAGTAGTGCTCATCTGTGAGGAATCTTCAAGAACAAAATTCTGGCTAGCAGTTTGAACGCTTAACTATTTGGACAAGGGCGGCTGATCAGTAGTGTGATTAGTTCGCAATTAGACATAATAAAGCGTAACGCATCCTTCAATCACGGGTCCAACACGTGGCCACCCAAGTGTGCCTCCCGTGAATGAAAAATGGATGGCGCAGTATCCTGTCTAAATGCGAGTTGATCACACTGCTAGCCATGCGCATTTGGCAAACGCCTGTGATCCATATACTATCCAGAAGTTTGTGGGATCAAGACTTTCGGGACGTTCATGAGTTGCTGATAACTCTCGCGCATTTGTCAAACGCCTGTGATCCATACACTATCCAGAAGTTTATGGGATCAAGACTTCCGGGACGTTCATGAGTTGCTGATGACTCTCAAAAAGTATGGGAGAGCTGTGCAGTGCTCCTCGGCTTCTCAGCATGCCTGGCTTCACTTGGAGGAAGATCGGAACCGCCAGTTTTCGTCTGATTCTAAGTGATCCAAAGCTGGGAACATTGGTATACTGTTCGATTCCGCTAGCTTTCTGTGAACATTTGTTCGCATGCTACCCGATCGACATCTTTGCGAAAATACATCCGGGGATACTTGCCCATCCACCCTCTCCAGTTCACACGTAAACCCAGCCTGCGAGTGTTTGTTATTAAACGTCTTCGGAAGTGAATTTCCCAATCTTTTCGCATTGCATATCGGAAATCTTTCATTCACATATCTTAGGTGGTTCAAAGATTACATCTTATTTTCCAGTGATGTGATTCTCAACCTGGCCATAAAGTTATCATCAAGCATGGGGTCAATAAGAGGCACCAGGATCACGCTGTCAATAGGAAAGTGTAGGTTTCACTGTGTACAAACGATGCATTATTGGCATAGTTCAAGGCAAGCTTCCTAAGCTTGCTTATTATAATTACTGTGACACATTGCTCAGTTGCTTAATTGTATCGCGTCGCCAACTGATTACGTAGTTCCAAGCAACCATACATAAGCAACCAACGAGGAAATCCTCAGAGGAAACAATTTTGTCCGAGAGCTTTTGGTCACCCAAACACAGCAAAGCGGACTGTGCTTCGTGGGCTATGCTTGGCCATCTCTTAGTGCGCTGGTATAAGAACCCTAAGCAACGACTGAGAATTATCGTGATAGGGAAGATTATAAACACCAAGAAGGAGTGAAAAATCAGCCTCATAAAGCGAGGGTAGGTCATGTAGACAGGTTCCATTTCCTTGGTCTAGTCTTTGAAGTTTGACTTTTTTATTCGGATTTCCAGTATGTTTACGTAGTATTTTTCCACCGGTTCAGTCATATATCTTCCATCAGACGGAAACAGAAAAATAATGGTATCTGGCACACTGATGTTCATCTTGAGCTTATAATCTAAGCACTCTAGTAATACCACATCAGTACCTTTATCTGGCATTCAAATGGTTTGGTCTTGTTCGCTTGCCTACGAGTGCTTGAATACTTTCGAGTGAGTCCAGACAGCCTCTGCAACCAATCAATTGTTACCCGAATAAAGCGAAAAACACTGGTTAGATAACCGCAAAAGGAACGTCAGTAAAAAGCATGGTTTCGAACACTCCTTATCCGAAGTTGCTGACGACCGAAACTTTTTCGTTTCTAGTTGCGTGTTATACCCCTTGACCACACGTCCTCAAACAGCTGGCTCCAGTCATGTAGCAGATCAAGCAAAGCACACCAAATCTGAGTACACAATACAGCTTGCGTAGTTTCTGACCTACTTAGTGCTACTCGTCTCCGACGTTGAGTTCACCATCTCCAAGATACCTTATTTATATCCCTCGTTTTATGTAAAACGTTGGGCCGATAGTTGTCCACAGAAACTGTTCCTTTCTTCTGCTAGTGATGGTCTGTCAGGCCTTCTTTTTTGTGAGGACTGAGGGATGTCCAAACTTTTCAGGTCCCATGGTGTGAGAGATGCTCTTCTTTTTATTTCATTAGCCAAACCGTGTGAGGAAAAGTAACACATCTTCTTTTCGAGGCTGAAAGTGACTTCAACCCCAACCTTGTACCACAAAGCCTGACTCACGGAGCACTGTGTGGTGACATTACCCTATAACGCAAGAAGTGATCATTATGGTGCAACTGTTTAGCATGAAATTTTTAACAACGTCGAACTCATGCATGTTCAAAGCAATGTGTACACCGATTAGCGCAATGGGCCAGGTGATTGAGCACGCAGTTTTCACAGACAAATTTCCTAATTCGTCAGTGTTCGAGGGAGGACGGCATGGCCTCTTCCATTGATACTGAGAGTGGGGTCGTTTTCAAAAATGATTTCACTGCATCTACACTCTCGTCTCATCGAAAGTCTCATCGCTAAACTTCTCTTAATTGTGGAGTTGCTTAATGATCAAGCCGAACTCAACAGTTACGAATTTCTAGATACGAAAGCAAAAATGTCATTTGCACTGGGCGATCTCATGAAATTTTCTAGACCGTTTTTCAATAATATTCAGTAATAATGAGCAAGTAAGGCGAGGCAGTTTTCAAATTTGCATACAAACCTGCGATCAGATGCGGGAAAGGCGTTTTGGCACGACCAGGCAATTTCAGGCGAACGGCAGAGTTCAGTTATCTATGACACAGATGGAGAAATTTACTAAGCTCTCAGGCCCGTTACTGTGTGCGACTACGATGTAAAGGCCAAAACACGTGCTTGGGTTACTTTCCAAAATGGCCTCAGGACGACTGACGGAATTTGGCAAGTGGCATAATTTATATCCTGAACTGTGTCGAAGGTGATGTTTTGGGGTTGAGGAGCAAATAAAACGGCAACTCCGTTGTAAAATCATTGGGTCGATGGCTCCCTATAGTTAGGTTGTATCGCTTCGTAATCCAAACTTTCATGTCATCAAATATTTAAGAAGGTTGCTGCTTACTACTACCACAGACATTCGTTTAACCTTAGCTCTACCAAAAGTCAAGCAAATTGTGATCTTTTCTACTCATAAGGTAACCATCCAGGGAGAAATAGTGATATGGCAACAACTATAAAGCACTGTTTGAATGCAAAAAAGTGTGGTAGACACTTTGTCTAATTAGGCTTGATTGTGTCTGGATAAACCGGTCTTGATAAAGGATCTAGTGATTTTCAAAATATCCCGACGCTAACGATTCCTAGTATGAATTGAGAGTTTTAGTGGCATAATATATTCGCCAATCGGTTTTGCTAATCATCACGGACAGAGGATTTGAAACAATTACCACAACTTGGGAATTTCGTAGGAAATGTTTTCATATCTAAATTTTTCGGGCATATATGAACGTTTCCATTGAGTTTTATTAGAAAGTGCATTAACCGTTACTTATGTTTTTTTAGCCAAGCAAGACCCGATGACCTTCTTGATGAATTATCTGAACAAGCATGGAATCAGGATTGTTGACTTTTACCGTTTAATTGATTTGCAACAAACGGGAATGCTAAGTCGCGCAGATTTCATCGAAGGTATACTGGTAAGCAACATTTATTCCAAGTTCGTCATTTCAGTGTCCATGTGTGAAAGCCATAAATTAATTTCGCTTCCCTGCAAAACGTGGAAAATTGCAAAGCAGTTGAACATTTGATAGTTCGCAAGGTTTCCGATGCCAAGAAGCTTGGAGATTTATTCAGATTCATACAATGTGCGAAACGTTGAAAAGTCTGATTAGCGTACTAGTGCATAAGATATTGTATTATCCTTTGGTAGTTTTGGTCAGCGAGGGTTAGCCATTACAGCTAAAAGATCAGGAAATACAGACCGTAGTTCATTGTCAGTCGCCCAGGAATCAATCAAAGTTATTCTTCCTTTAATGAACCACACTATTGACAGGATACCTTTGCTTGATTCCCGTTAGCTTGGCCATTATTGTCTTCACAGAAGAAGCAAAACTCGAACAGCTGGTAAGAAGTGCACAACTTCTCTTTGTCAGTCCTGTGGTTGTTGGTGATACTTTAAAACGTTTATCCATGGCAAAACGCATGGATTTTTGCAGACTGCTGAATCAGGGTCCAGATTACTGTTCGACTTGAATAAGTAATTTTGACATGAACTAATACTGTCTTATTGAATCTGTTCTGTCGTTCGTATACAGTGAGCGTACTCTATAGTTTGGTTTGTTAAATATCACCCAATGATATGCATACGAGTAGCGCCTCCAGTCTCACCTATTTTTTTTAAGTATAGTCCATTTTAACAAACAACTGCACTGAGAATGATTTGACTGATTGTATATTGGGGATATTCGTTCTTGAAAGACGTTTTCACCAAAACTGTGTGCAAATGGGGGTCATAAAGTCTTAGTTTCCAAAATTAACACAATGGAATTCTGAAGCTGCTACAGCAATATTGCGATCTTCCCTCCCGCTACCATAAAACTTCACTGTAATCGCACGAAAACCATTCCCTTCCCATTCATGTTAAAAAAAATCATTAGAAATTCCATTACTACGAAAAATTTAGTTTAAATATGAGGTGAGGCTTGTGCTTGATACATGTGTACCTGTGTTGACCTAAAATTTATGCACCTTTCCTGAATTGGATAATACTGTCTAGCTTGTGCAGCGTTAATACAATAACGCACACCCAAATGAACAGACCTCAAAACCGCCATCAGCGATATTTTTGATTGTGTTTCGTTCTCAGGAAAGCCTAACCGTTTGCATTTGCACGATGAAACTAACAAATGAGACCTCTTCTTTTAGCAAAGAAGATTTAATCAGAGTTTTGGATGTATGTATATGTATGCATGTATGTCGTTGGCGCTTAAAAGGTAGTCCGATACTTAACTGGTTTGGTTTGAAGACCTCAAAACCGCCATCAGCGATGTTTTTGATTGTGTTTCGTTCTCAGGAAAGCCTAACCGTTTGCATTTGCACGATGAAACTAACAAATGAGACCTCTTCTTTTAGCAAAGAAGATTTAGTCAGAATTTTGGATGTATGTGTATGTATGCATGTATGTTGTTAGCACTTAAAAAGTAACCCGATACTTAACTGGTTTGGGAATATGTATATATATATACATAATATACACAGATTATATCGAATGGTTCTTGATATTTTTGAAAGGTCTGCTAAAAATTTGCCAACTTTGAGCCAGATCAAAGTTCACCTAAGTCAACGGTGCCCCAACGCCTTGGGCTCACTTGAGCTAATGATGTTTCCAAACTGACGCTTATTCTGGGTCCCTCAGTATAGTTATCAAGGGTGTCTGTGCCAAATATATCCCCATAGCAAGAACCAAAGTACAGACTTTAAGAGATATTTGCGACAAGCGAATTATTCGGAAACAGAAACCAGTTATTAGAGAATTCGGGCTTCATTACTGATGTTCACTCCGTGTACCACGAACTTCCACATATTTTGTATATGTATTTTGCGCAATGAACCACGCAATGTTTTTCTTTGCTCTACAGCAGCAAAAGATCCCACTGAACGCAAACGATTTGCAAACCATTCTGGATTACATTGACCCCGAAAACACCAATCAGATTACTCATCAGTAAGTCAGAGACCCTAGAAACCCGAAGTTTGGAAAATATATAACGGCAACTACAACGCAGTAACCAGGCTTTTAGTACATAATGAGTTTGTGTTCTTTACGTTTCCTTTCTTGCTTGTGGGATGGATTTATTTGGCTTCAGTTAGGCTATTAGGTTCTTCACGTCCGCTTCTACTGGTACAAATAAAGGAGAATCATCGGGAAGCATTTCGATGAGTTGCCCTCGGGCTAATACAGTGCGGTTCAAAAAATATGGATAATCAACACATATGCAATATACCATATTTGATGGTTACAGTAAATGAGTGATGTGAAAACAAATCCAGTACTCTCTTGGTTGCTGTTAACCACTGGATTTAGGAATTGAGAGGCTTACATCGTCAGTGAAATGACACGTAGTCACTAGTAAATTAATTGGATTAGCTTGCGAATGCGGCCATTTAGTGAAATCAGCACGTACAGGTTTCATATGTTCAACTTTTATGCGATATTCTGTAGGTCACCAAATTAGCCTCTACTGTTTTTTTATTGTCATACATCCATGTTTCTTGTCACTCTACACAACTATGATCATCGTCCGGCTCTATCCGAAGTCTCAAAGTGCTTCTGTCCAGAAGATGGAGGAAGAACAGTCATTTGAATGGAATTCCAAATTGTTTGTGGGCGACAGATCGATTATGTTTGCCCCACAAGCACTAGACATTTGCGAAAATTTGTAGAGAGGTCAGCGTAAAAGTAAGCAAGCAGTTTGAGCGATATGCGTTGTTTCGGCTTGTCCGCAGCTTAGGTAAGACAAGGGATAATATGTAGGAATGGTACCAAGGATTGACTTAAGGATTCAGAACAGATGGTACAAAGACCATGTAGAGTAAAACTGATGATCTTAGTAGCCACTACAGATCTTTTGGAATCCGCGTTTCAGTGAAACGTTGATATGATTCATATTTCTATTTGATTCTCTTCTTTATTTTGCATGGAAACACTCTCACTATCTGCTCATTCACCCTCCAGACTATTCTTCAGTCGGATGTACCTTTACCGAATCACGGTGCGCGATCAAATCCGAATCCGGGCTGGTGAATTTTCCAAGCATCAGTTGGACCAAAATCGGCTGTTTGTAAGGCCGAAAGGTCTACCAGATATCGAGAAACCACCCGAGGGTAAGTGTCACTCACGCAGGAGATCAAGCGTGCCTACTAAAAATAGTACCAAAGTAAGACGTTAATCCACCAAGGAGTGTTATTTTCCTCCACTGTATTTACATGCTAGGAATGCATAATTTCTTACCGGGCTCACCAAACATTTGGTTGTTCGAAAGTAAATGCCAAGGGGTTTTCAGCAACCTTAAGAGTAGTGCATTACAAAATATATATGTATCGCAGAAACATAGGCGGCCTGGTGCAGCACATTCAGTTGCCTGAGAACATCACAAACGAGAGATTCAGCTTGGTAACCAAGTGAGTGTCTCGAAAACCCAAATTAGTTTGCAAATGAGTGTAGATTCGCTAAATGCATACAAGTTGGATATGTGTGTTGTAGATAGAAGAGATCAGACAAGTAAGACGTCACACGCAAACAAGCATTTCAACAAGAGAGACATACTTATAATCAACCCCATTTCCAAAGCATATACGACATAAGATAAGCACGATGAACTGGCCACGCAGAGCGGACAGAACCCCATTTTTCACACATACATACAGACTTGAACTTTCACACGCCAAAAAAGCTCAGGCTGCACTGTCTTCTTCAACGCACGTCTGAATCCACCCATTTCCAACTTTTTCATTTCGTTGTCCTAAGATTAATTTTGTCCTTTTAAGATTCATGCATGACTTGGCCTGATGAAGCTATTGTGTCTAAAGCGAAACGTTGGCCAAATAAAAACTACCGACTGCTTACCACGCTGTTCTGAAACGATAAAATCCATGCAATTTTACTCGTATAAAGGTCCCTTGGAAAGCTGAAATGTTGTGGTCCACCTAACATGGATCCATCCGAACTATTGTGATGTCAGCAGACATTTTACTTATTACGATTATTTATATCAGTCTTAATAAACAATAAAGCGTTATTGACAAGACCATACAAGGTGCTGGTTTTGCCCGTGTCGTCTAGGATTTCCATCAAAATCCAAAGCAAACATGCAGATGAAACCAAAAGGTGACAAAGGCGAATTCGGGGAATTAAATGGGGTGGAAAGGGTAGTCGCTTCCAAAGAATCCATGGACAAGAAGATGCCACCGGTGTCTATTACAGTCAAAGGCTGCAAACTAGACGAACGAGCTGTGTCAAGTATGGAGTTTTTGCGCAAGCTGGAGCAAGGAGACACCAAAAGTGGGACGCTTAACTCGGAGTCCTCGAGTGACAACATACTGGTCCCCATTTTGGACGTCTTCGATGAATCATATTTCCGTTACGTTTCATCGCTGTGATCATTTCCATTTTCACCGCGCTTGGACTTATGTTGCCAATGGAAAGACATCTTGTCTCTTCATTTCCCCGCTTACTCTGCTTCCTCAGATCCAGCTGAGCCTTCCTCACAGTCCGACATGATAATTCTCCATTTGTCGCAACGCCAAAATATTTTCGCTGCCTCTTTTCTCCTAGAAAAGGTGAGTGTAGTTAGTTTAATTGGGCAACGGAAAGGCAGTTCATTGTTCTGACCACTTAGCCTCCTGGGGCGAATGCATCAGGACGATGGATAACGGTTTAACCTGACACAGTACCATCTCGTTTTCAGGGGTTACACTTCTATGAGATTGACAAGGTTTATTCAAGATACCGTTGAAGACTGCTTTTTGCGTAGACATTTTACAAATTAGCGTAGCCGCCATATCCATGACGGTTTTACGCTGCGTAAAGATTGCTCTATTTCATCTGCTGTTGCCTATGAGCTCACAAGTTCTGACGCTAGCCACATTACGGCCTAGTGATTGTAATTATCAACAATGATGAGGGAGTTCTAAACTGTTTTTTTGGTGTTTCATCAGAAAAGGATCTCTATTTAGGATTGAAGTCATATTTTATGACTTATTTGTTCAGGATCACAACAGGGCTTAGTTTGCTGCCGCGACCTATGATTGTCTTTCATTATGCAGTTTGAAGATAAAAGAGAATCTAATTTCAGAGCAGGGGTAACGACCGAATTTCGCAGCAAGTATAGAATTCATCGATGAACTATATTCTAAGAATGTGAGCTGAGAAATGCTACTGTGAAGCATCGAGAAGTCGTTCTTAACGTAACTAGGTGCAGAAAAAGTTACCATTATTCGCAATTCATTCCCGTTTGCAAGTGCATGGCATCACCTTCGGAGGAATATGATCCAAGCGATGATATTCGTGGATTTTCTCATATCATATGCAAATCGCTATAGAACGAACCAAGCCTAAACTTGTACCTAGTCCGTGCTAATTTCCTAGGGCTGCGTGTTAGTTCAGATTCTCTGCATTCGAGTGCTCCAAATATCAGGATGAATTTACCACTGATCTAGCAATTCCTTATTTTCACGCTAGATACAGGCTGTGCTGCTTTTCTACAGTCGAACACATATAACCTAGGAAAACGCCTACGGAAACTTAGTGAAGACCTGTCGTTGTTGTCTGAAGAATAGTTCATAACCTCTCACTGTTCACCCAGCTATTTACATTCACCCGTTTGTTTGTTTGTATTCACCTTAAGAACACCATCAACCATAACACTATCGCCAACCTAACGTAAAGCTTGTTGAGAGTATGGAGTGATTTAGGAATTTCGCTCTGGGCTGAATCCATCACCTGAGGTATAGTGCTGAATATTAACAACAAGGACAGTGTCTGTTCTAAAGTATTCCGTATCATTTTGTACACCACATACACGTGCGAATTTGAAGGTAATCTATGCTAGGTAATGAGGCCGGAAGGCTTAGACCTTCGCCTCCATTTTCAATGGCAAAATCTCCCACAAGTAAGCTTGGGCATATTCGCCATCCCCAACTTATCACGTTCAGTAAAATTACGTAACTCAAGCTTGCTTGCTCAAACGTGAAAATTCCGATGCGTCAGGTATGTGCAGCTCCATTCGTGTCACACGTTCGCCTCGCGTGTCAGATGTCCGAATTTCAAGCCGCTGCATGGCCAGAGATGTGCGCTACTGATGAGCTCTAATAAGAGAGACTTCCCCAACTTACTCCAACACAGGTTGCAAGAGTGGTGTGAATGTGAAAACTACATATCCCGCGATCATCCGCAACAAAAAGTATCGCTTTTAGCTTGAAGATTCTCTCAGGTAGGTCAAATTGAATCAGTCAGGCGTGCTTGTCGAATCATATTTTGGTTTTATGGAAGACCAATGCATGGAAATCACACAGGACACTCGATCGCACTCACAATAAAACACTGGAGTTATTTGGTGGGATAAAACAAGCAAGTGTAAAACAGGAGTAAGCAAAAATAATTGTCAGGATGGAGGTTTTGATGAGAAGTGAAACTTTTCGAAGGATAAGTTTGAAACGGATGAATGGTCACTCGTGGCTCCATCGCTGCCTAACATGGTTTCGTCCAAAGGTACATGGTGCTCAGTTCGTTCACTTGACACACGCCCATTCAGTAAAGGCACATGCTGGTCGCTATCATCATCCGCTTTTGACACATCGTCATTCAGGTCTAAAATGGAAACCAAGTAGACAAAGCTAGGAATATCTCATTGTATGAAATGGTTTTTGGTGCCTGCGCATAATTTATCAGAAAAAGGGTGTGAAAATGATAAAAAGAACGTCTGGTTGGTTTTGTAGTAGATCGTGGACTGATGTTTGGTGCATGAATCTTTTGTTGTCTGTGAGACATTATTAGATATTAGTATCTAAGCAGAAGAATTTCGCCATATTTCTCTTTGGTATATAGCCTGAATTCTTGGTAATCGTTCGTTCGACAGAGTGGGCTGTCTGGTTGAGGAAATTTCAGATTACTGATGTCAGCAAATGATCGACGGTCATCTAAACAGCATAATCTAGTGTCATTGCACACAGCAGCACCATATACTCGATTGAAGAACTGTTTTCTCCGTCATCTGGCTTAAAAAACTATGCTGTCTCATAAGCGCAGACAAAGAAAGTGGCACGATAAGTGGTCTCTAGGGTAAATAATATACTACTGGGTTCGTGTGCGTCCAGTGCGCATCACGGTTAAGTGGATCACAAACATGTTCAATACAGCTCGGTCGTTTCCGAAACTATATGTTAGAGGTCCTTGCATGCCAAACTGGAAACATTTTATCATCTCGAGACAATGTCCTAAGACATTAGAGACAATTAATATTTGCTGTTACGTGAACGTATTGTTGAAAATATGCTTGATGCCGAAAACACCACCAATCCTGTTCGACCCGCATTCTGAACGCGGAAAACCTGGGTTCATTTCGTGCAGTTGTTTGGCTGATGTTTCATATAAACATACATAAATATTATATATACAATTATTATATTCTTTCAAATGCAGCACGATTTTGGTGCATAACTGCCATGCCATCCGAAGGAAGCACAAGGACTGAGATACTACCAGGTTGTCAAAGCCTATACAGGAGTATTCTGGTTGCACGAGTTGGGTGTGAACCATGGACATCCCATTGAGTACATTCGGGCCCTAACCACTGAGCTATCTCGAGCTCAAATATTGATAATGTCCATAACTGCCCATCCGAAGGAAGCACAAGGACTGAGATACTACCAGGTTGTCAAAGCCTATACAGGAGTATTCTGGTTGCACGAGTTGGGTGTGAACCATGGACATCCCATTGAGTACATTCGGGCCCTAACCACTGAGCTATCTCGAGCTCAAATATTGATAATGTCAGCATAACCTGGGTTGTGTGTACAAACTATCTATTAACATTCACAAAGTTGGTTTGACAGCATGCAGACGGGCAGGTAAAAAAACGAACCAAATAGCTTGAGAAAAGTCATAGCTACATCTAAGAACGAGTGGAAACGCATAACGAGAAGATCCATCCAACACTTGAGGAGGAAAAGACTTCTTTGGAACCCCTGGGTCGTCAAAGTCTGGAAGGTGTGTGGTACTTACGAAATGAAACAGCCCTACATCCGTGTTGTAATTGGCTTGCGGATGTATGCCCTGTTGTGACACAACGTGGTCTAAGTTCCCGATGCTGTCTTTCACAAGGTGTCTGAACAAGAGAAATTGACCGCTGTCGGCTGAGTTCCACCTTAGGCCCCTCCAGTCTAGAACTCACAAGGTTCACTGCTGACAGTTCGTGTAGTCCTCCGAGTGAGTGGCGGCAACGTGCACTACTGATTGTGGATAGTCCTTCACACCACCGTTCATCGAGTTCTGAAGTGAACAGAACAATGTAAAATGTTCCACTGCAAAAATACTCTTGCTACTCAACAACCTAACATGTTTCTACGGGGGTCAAAGTTCCAATGGTCACTGATTACATAAATGACTATTTGGTCAGCAACGCGAGAATAATCACGTCCATAAAGAATATTATTGATCGTCGACTTATTTTGAGGTTTATTTCCTAGCTCTGAAATAAAACTCGCCACATGCTACATAAAAAATATTGCGTTCCTTTAAAGTCGAGTGTCCCCCTAGTCCAGGTAGAAGAGACCATTCAGATGTCAATAAGGAACATTATTATCCCCAGAGGGTTTAGAGTAAACTGTGACGTAGCCTGCTTTCAGACCGCCTGAGACAATTCTCTTGGTGGTCGGTTGGAAAGCCAACTTTCCGTCATTCTGTTTCGACCTCGACAAGCTCACACAGGAGTGCTCCAGCGTGACGTGGTGAGTGCGTGACACAACTACTGTATAATTGCTCGAAAAGTTGGTCGACTTCAGCATGTGTCTGTCAATTGACAGACGACACGCATACACCCAACCAACAATCAAATAACGATGTCAAAACTGCCGACCCATGTGGTGGGTGTGATGACAAGCTGTTCAAGCTTGTGCAGAGCTAACATTGGAGCTGCTTCTCTGGTGGTCCCATTGATGAACTGAATCTGTCTGCTTACGCAATTATTGTTCAGACCACACTGCCGACACAGTTGGCATTCTCAAGACCGCCGTGCTCAGCATCCTGAATGAAACTGGATAAAACGCTTTCAGCCACCCGACTAAACAACTGGCGCTTTCATCAGATATAAAGCAATATTGGAGATATGTTCTATCTCCCACACCATCTACCCAGATCGTCCGCAGCCCTTCATATCTATGTGTTCACAGCTTCCAAAGTGACTCGTTCAAATTGGTTGTCGATCAGATGACCGTTCATATGCTCGCTGTGCTTAAAGTATTTCCTGTAAACGTTTCGGCACCACCCGTTGGGACATATACGGTCTATGAAGGCGTGGAATGACCTGAAAACGGCCCAAGATTTCTCAGATTTAAAACCCTGTTGTCGGAAATACCTTTCCCAGGGGCCTCCAAAGCAATGACCAAAATAATTAGACAGTTGAATAACTCTAGTCACTCGCTTTCTCGACTAGGTCAATTTTTATCTAGAACGGCGGTAAATGTGACAGCTGCCTTAGTGGTCACATAATGCGAGGGGAATCAGTTTCCGATCGACCGGCACCATTTTCAAAAATATCCGTTGCACCTCCTTCGGCAAATTCGGGCATTAGCGACCAGGCTTCCAAAACAAGGATGACTTCAGCATACGGATGAATGCTCGAAATCCTGGCTTGTTTATGCCGCTCTATATTTTGCTTTGAACTAGGCAACCAAAGCCACATCAGTTACGCTAGATGAACGAAGGTAATAAGCATAAACACGCATAGACACGTTCACTAAAGCACAGCCCGCTCGGTTCAAGAACAGCGCACTGATGCTCTCATCTCGAGCGGAGAGTAAACGTTTGCGACAAAATTACTAAGCCCAGAGAACAACCGAACAGCAATATCATTGTCCGGCACTTAATCGTCCACTTACCTTCTGAATAAAACCAATAACATCTGATCGTGGGAACGCATCGGCTGTTAGCCTGACCACTACACCTGATTTCAAAACGCTTCAGAAGATATTATTGCCTTTTAGTAGGTACATTATGGGTAGCGAATCATGCTTAACTAAATGTTCGCCACATTGTAAGAAAAATATCATGCTACCTTCGAGGATGGGTTCAAGGCAGAGCTCATATCTGGTCTACATTGAGCTAATCCCAAAATACGCACATTTCGGAATACATACTATATCGTAACTCTTAAAGATTACTTATAATGAATCGTCAGTTTTATTTTCCTAACGGGGCTTCTCTGGGTTACCGACGACTGACAGCTAATCGGAATTACTACACAACGTTACGTTACTACCCCGCATGGGCAGGTTAAGCTGGTGAAAGCTGGTGACAGGTAGCATTCTGTAGGAGAAACCGACTGGATCCGATGATCTGTGACCATGTCTAAGAGTGAGACGCGATAATGTGATGAACAACTAAAAGGATACCAGCACCTCCACGCTGTTTCTCTTACCGTTAATAACGTGGACTCCCCGGATTTGGGTTTGTGAGCGATCACGTTGTAGCACATTTCCCGTGGTGTTTTTCTCAGGTGTGAATAATATTATGTACAACTGCGAGGTAAAACGAAACATACTTGTTAGTAAACTTAATCGTTTCACCAGAGGCGATTGAAAAAAGCCATAACAACCTGCAGAAATTACCGCTAAGTGATGGTTTGTTTAATGACATAACAGTAAGATAGTAAAGTTGACATCTGTATGATGTCCGCCACTCATACACTATGCAGTTAACAAAACCCTGGCCAACTCAAGCAACTCCATGCTAATTCGGAAAGGTTTACTCACAGGAGCCAGGTACATTGCCAGTGAAAATCTAAAACCTTCCCAATAGATTTCGCTTCACAGTGACAATTGTAGACATGGTTCCCTTATTCGACACCGAAGGAGTGAAAAGGAACACGTTTGAAAATTTCAAATAGTTCGTTAGGCGGAACTATGTTATGCGTGGTTGTACTCTTTGGAGTGAATTCACTCAGAATGATGGCTAACTGTGTGTGTGAAAGGTTGGTCTCACCCCTTCATTTTCCCCCTCATACACCTGACAGTAATGAATTTGCTTGTTGCAAAGTCTTAAAAATGGTTATTGGCAATACTGAAAAATACAACGCATTCCCGGTTCCTCCTAGCTGGAACTCACTGGGCGGACGTAGTATGATAGACTTTTCCATGTTCATGTTTTAGATTTCTCGTGTCAATCTTAAAACTAATCACTCATGGACGTCATGGTTAGACGTGCGTTCCGACTCCTTTGTTTATCACAGATCGATTATGAGCAAGATGTAAATGCCAACTTGAATTGCTCCTAGGGGACACTCCAACAAACAGCCTTCTGTTAGTATGCTAGCTCTTTACGTTTTGCTCAACAATTCGGTTTTGACGCTTGTTTCGACTTGTTTGTAACGGTGAATTTCGACCGGTATTTCAAGCTGTCTGTTTTGAATGACCCAAGAGAAAAAGTAAGATAAATGAACGGTCATTTGAGTAGAAGGACGAAGAACTACCCGAATGGTTGTAATGTAAGGACTTTGGTAGAGCTTCACTCAACGGTTCCGTCCAGCTTTATTTCAAATTCTGTGGAATCATTTGAAATGTATCTAGTATCCAGGTGTTTGCAGATGCGAATGTGAAATATACATTGGTTTGCGACTCCGTTTGGGGGTGAAATTATCTACCAGAGGGCAAAATTACAAACCACCTGGAAAAGTGCTCGTGAAAAATTACGAGCTAGAGACAGCATAATGAAATTTCTCGGAAATTTTTAACCTGAGCCTTGGTGCAGGATTAACCAACATTGTGATTACTGCAACACGTCTCTATTGCTTATTATACTTTGTAGTCTAAACAGTAAATATTTTGGCATCGATTATTTTGTTTTCTGAAACCGCCACCGTCAACACGACCTTAAGTATTCATTTCTTATCCCGAGTCAGCTTATTGCCTAGGACGACTTGTTGCTCCAATGAAGTTCGGAATCCAGTGAACTTCACCTCTTCGCGCGGTTGGAAGTTTCACAAATGTCACAACTAGTGACTTTAATAGGGGGCGATCAGGCGATCATCTATGAAAAAACTCTGTATTCTCACTTATTTTGTGCAGCCTTTTTCTGTAGGTGTTCGTTATTCTGTGGTATTATTTTCCTCTGCTTAGATGTCTCGCCTTTCCCATCTGAGAACCTTCGACGCGCACGCACACATAGAAAATACTCAAATATCCAGACTTTACTTTCTCCCGTTTTCACATTTATCCAGTGCTGAACAAAACTCCTTCGAACAATCAATATTCGCTTTGATCTTCAGGCTTAAATTTCAGTGGATAATGCGCTAGCTAACGTCCAAATATTTAAACATCCAGCTCTTATTAATATAGACTGTGTCCGTTCCTTGGTTGCAGAACCAAACCACAGTAGCTCACCTTCCAGAAATTCTTGAGTGGTTCATTATACTGAGTCCAGTTAAAACCCTATCACTACTTATATTTTCCCCATGTCATTAAGCATTAAATCAAGGTTTCAAACTACCAGCCAAGAGATTGTGGGTTGGAAATCCCCTGGAGTTTCCTGAGATGCGCAATGCTGAGGACTCCCAATAAGGATGAAACAGGTGCAAAGTGCCCTTCAGCTTTTCAGCATAGGTTGGCTTCGCTTACGGGGCAAGTCTCATTTGTAATCTACCAAACCTTCTCAAGCTATCATCAATATTAGAACGGTATAGAGCCAGCCTGTGTGTACGACACTTCTTGGGATTTCAAACGTTCTACTTTGTAACTTGCAATGACGAAACGACGCCAAAGTTGTCTTGTGCTTTGATTTATATTTACAGGCTACGTAACAAACTTTTCGCACCAAGATTGGCCAGATAGTTGAAATAATCAGCTTTCGCCGATCTAAAATGGTCACAGGAATCAATTGATTTTTAATCTCAGGCCAGAGTAAAGCTATGTTTTTTGGTACGATGACGCACGCACTTGGCAGTGGTGAGTGATTTGACCATCGCGTCGTGTTGTCAGTTGTTGGCAAACGTAATGATGTGAAAGGTTGGTTGAAGTTTTCATATGAGGTTCCCTGGATTGACTGCCAGCCACTGCATGAGGGTAAGTAAAACAGTGTTTGCACTTAGCTCTGTTATTTGCAATTCAGTTAACTTTGTGGCCTGAATGGTCGAAGTGACTTCCTGAAAAACTGTAGATCTGAGCGCGCCTATGGTCGTTGTAGTTGGGGAAAGTGTGCAAATCTGTGTAATTCTTTCGCGCTTTTTCTCAATGAATGTATGTTGTATCCAACCAAGCAATGTTTCAAAGACTATGAAGTTACAGCCACACTGGGGCTTTAAAAGTCCGCTGGATGACCGTAAGCTGGATTAATGAGCGCACCCATTCAATGGAAGTGCCATGTTTAAAGACAGCATTATGTAAAATGGCTCTCATGAAGTCAAAGGAAAAGTTTATTGTGATGGACACAAGAAGCCAAAACAGTGCAAAACGTACAAGCATAATATGCTTTCTAGCTTGTTACGTTTATACTGCTTGAATTTAGTGAAGAAAATACATAGTACATAATGTGTGCAATATGAATTTGTATTGGCAAACCTCATATTTCCAGAGGTACAATGTATGGGCTTGGGGTGTAGGAACATAAAGTCGCTTAGAGAATCTATTCGTATTGCACATTTTCCGCTTACCACACAGCTGTTCGGCGTGTTCCTGAAGCAAACCATTTGATTGAAGTACTTGTTGACCATCTTCATTCCGCTCTGGATTATCTTAGTAGCGCTATGCTTCATTCCAAAATACCTACGGCTACAAACAACGCTCTAACCAGATTTGCAAACTACTTTGGTGTTACCGGAGACCCAAATGAATTTTTCGTTCGTTAAGTTCTTCGAACAGAAGGCGAATTTAACAATGGTTTGGCGGAGACCTCAGTAAAGTCGTGACAAGTAAGTGTACTGTGGTATCTCGAATATCGTACCGTCAGAAATATGAGACGGCATCTGAGAGACATTCGGTTTGAGAATATCACAAGCAGACCATCAAGGCTATTCGCGAATGGTCATATTGCGCCATTTTGGGATATGTTGATTTTCAATTAGAACTTACTGTTAATGGAAAATTGGGGACTACGTTCACCTGGTCAGCACCAAGAAGGATGAAATCGGGCATGGAATGTCGAAGAGTTTTCGGCAAATTTATGTGTACCATGCTAAGTCAAGACAAGAAGTTAGTCCGTTTCGCATCCAGATTCACGTCCAAAGCTTCTCTGTTATCAAAACCTCGTGACTGGCTAACGTAGCCATCCTCAACGTAACTTTGCGTAAGCTTTGTTTGTGTATTCTAATTAGCTTCGCTGGACGAGGCTTCTTGTAATAAGTCGCTGTTTTTACTTCGCTGCACCAATTTCTAAGCCTAGTTATACACTGCCGTCCTCGCAGGACTTGCCTTCTGGTTTTAACTGCAACGGAATTCCGGTAGGTAGGCCAACTTAAGAATTGGGATATTGTAGTGGCACTGGTGTGTTGACCATTCCCTACAACAGAATTCCTAATTTTGTACAATCTCGCAAGCTTTTCAACTTGAGGAGCCGTTCACTTTTACGCCTAATTGGTTTTCTAAGACAGACCTGCAAAGTATATAGACATCCTGGTATTGAAAATCCGTTGCGAAAAATATTTTTATGAGGTAAAATGCGCACAGAAGATTTGCTTCAAAAACCCTTCTGAAAGATGTTGCGACCATATAAGAATATACAATGGGAATTTCAATCGGTAAGTGAATTAAATCAATGCAGACCATCCGAAGAACCCTGTTTCATTCAGGGTGATCACAGGCAATGTACATCTGAGGAAGTCCAGGGAATTTGAACGCTTAAGCGTTCGACAGCGAACGACTGATCAGCACTACGACTGACTAGCAGTTAGGCAAGATAGAGCGCCATCTGTCCTTCAGTCACAAAATCCACATCACGTGGCCATCTGTTTACTGGTTCCTGGAGTAAGGGCTTCACAGATGTAAGTTTTATTCTTCATGTGGGTTGTTGTTCAATCTGAGCTAATTAAAAGCTGATGGTAGTCTGAAGAGATTTGGGAATTCTCAATGGAGATTTCATCCTGTACGTGAACCCAATCTATGTGGACTAGTTCAGATTGCGGCTATTTCAGGATTAATGGCTTACCTTCGGCATTATTAATACCACCAGTTGATTTGTGGCCATCAAGAAGGTAAGGCCACTCAGAGGCAGCAATTCCCTGGATGTCAGCCGAAAGGTGAGCATAAGAATGGGGGCAATAACGAACAAAAGTAAGTTGACGTAATTGACAACACCCAGCTGTCTTGCTTCATTGTATCCACAAGGGACTTTGCGAATCTTGTAAGCGTGTAGCAGAGACACCAGCATGAGAAAAATTGGAATCAGCATCCCAGCGAATTGTGGAATGAACAGACTGGAAAAGCAGACCACTGGGTTTGTGTCCAAACCTTTGAGGATTATTACACTCCCGTTCTGTTCCCATCTTCTCGGTCCAAGATAAGAATTGGAACCAGATAGGATTTGGGTGACGGTCGGAGGCCAGAGTGACATGGTGACGGCCAGTACGAGGACGTCCGCACAAATTAACAGAACCATGAACAATATCTGAGATCCAGGGCTTACGAAACGCGTTGCAGAAGACACGGGGTTTGCGGCCAACTGAAAACAAAGTGAAAACTTCATCGTGAAGAAACACATCCTAGCAAAATCTCGCACTGCTTTCGACCTTTAAAATCTCAACAACATCTTGTAATGCTGCCACTAATGGCAATTTAGTACAGAACCATCACGCCTGAACTAGATAGCTGGTCAATTTGCAGACGTCACTTCGTTGTGCCGCTTACTTCGTAGAAAGAAGGCACGCGTGGGTGGGAGCGCAGATTAAGATGAACACAAATAGTCATAATCTGTAACAGTCATGAAGAACAGTACAACCCTGTACAGCTATAAGTTAGTCCTATTCTACTTGGGTTGATGGTAATTCGAAAAAAATTGATATGAGAAGACTGATAAAAACTCCTTTATTTACTTTGCACAGTCCGTTGGAATTGAAAACATTATGATCAAGTGCTACACTCAAACCTCGTCCAAAGAATCTGGTTACAGTGAATGCGGATGCTAGTGAACTCAAAACAAGGGGACTGCGCCTAGCAGATGAGCCCCAAGGGCGAAACCGGTCTTGGATTATCGCCGAGTTTGCAACACCTTGTGAGTAGTTTCCCTAGTGAAAATATGCTGAGATATCTCGAATATCGTACTAACTGAAACATGAGGCCAACTTTGTGCAGCACATTTAGTAGAAGAACATCATAAACGAGAGTACCGGTCACACAGTGATCTGCCGGGGCAACTTCGGCTGATGAAATAAGTCTATCACATCTGGTTTGGACTGTCAGGGCTATCAGATGGTTTAACATGTGACGGTGTTAACAGTGACCTTTCAAATACAAAAATGTTTTAGGTCTGAGTGATCTTCAGTGTGCTTATCCCATGATGGCACTATCAATGGTGTTTTTATCATCGCCGTGTGAATGAAACCAAGCGGAACTACGATCATGTGTATGTATTCTGGACATGGCTTATCAGTATTACAGCAACTTCTATCCGAGGTGGACACCATTGAGTTCATCTGGACCGCTCTCATCTGTGTCAGCAAAGACCGGCTTCAATGATCCGTTAATTCCCGAGCTTTATTTCTACAAAATTCCCCGAAGTGATGCTGTGACCATCTATTTGAGGACCAAGGTGTACAATATCTTACACTAGCTTAAAGTACGCGCATTTCCGGAGTGCCGACCTCCAGACACCCTATGGTCCTGATCTAAGTGGGAAGTGGGTGATTTTCGAGTCTGAGGCTCTGATTTGGTTGCAAGGCTGGACGTTGTTTTTCATTACTATGCTAAATTTATTTTATGCGCGTTGTGTCATATCATATTCTATTGTTTTGAGTTGTAATTTATTGTCCTCTGCTGTATCATGTTTATGCGTATTGAGTGTGTCCGTCTACAAAAGGCTCGCGGTAAGAGTCGTGATATTCCGAAGTGTTAAACTTACAGTGGTACCAGAGGCAAGTCTGTCATCATCTTTGTACATACCTAACTGAGTAGTGAGGGACACTGACTAGGCATATGTATACGCATTGGATGCGCCTCCGCAGTGAAATGGACGTCTGGGACTAAAACGTTGAGAACTCCCCATTTGGATTGAAAGTTATGGGCCATCGTCTGATCACACCTTTTAGCCTCTAGTCTTGTTGTCTCAGGTACAGGGCGCTCGGACAGATGCACAAGCGGCCCAGAACATACGATGTCTAACACTGGCCCTTGTTCACGGGTGGTGATTGACCTCGTTTGATATGACGGGTCAGTCCAGCTAAGAGAGCGTAGGCCTTTGTCAGTGCGATTTGTTATTATCACTGTTCTCGAGGTTCACTTCAGGTATGCCAGTGACAATGCTTTGCTATACTGGTTGTTACGGATGTTGCTGGTTTCTCTAGACCTAGTTCCTGAGCGTTCAGCAAATTTATCTGGGTGTTTTCGTAGATATGGGCTATCCTGTGCAGTATGTTGGTTAGTAGTCTGCAAATGACGGGTGGAGGCATACATTATGTCCATGTGAGAATCGTGATGCACGGAAAACTCTTATTCTAGTAGACCAGTGGTGGTGAATCGTACTGAAATCTAGCTTTACCAGTGCAACCGTCATAACTACGCTGATGGTAATAAGCGGACGTGGAACAGTGATCCATCCACGACAAACCGAGCAGGTATCTTATACCAAAAGCAGAGTTTTAAAACAGTACAAAGCCTCGACAGACTTAAAAACATGCAACCAAAATAAGTCAGTTATTTCAGGTCACCCGATGAATGAGTTGCTTATGTAGCATTTGTTAAACGAATCTCGGTTACTTATCTCGAAACAGGTGAATAAAGAAATTTATCATCATCGAAAAAACCAAAGCGAAGCTCATCTAGTAAGTAAGCCCTTGTCAAAACCTAGACTGAAATGTCATTAGGCAGCTCAAAAAAACTTTTTGGTTTGCTTCAAACTTCACTATAGTAAGAACACTAGCTGCCAAATCCACGTATATCATGCAATGATCTTTGAACCATCTACTTCCATGTGTGTAAACGTGATTCAGCAGTAATGGTCAAACAAAGACCAGTTCACGGAGAAGGGATTTACTAAGCTAAATGACGAAAAAGCTGCTCTGCCAATATTTGTCTCGACAGTAGTGGTTCTTGAACTATTTTTACAGATTTGGATAGTGGACTGCATAGTCTTCAGTATTACCCCAGGATATATATGAATTCTGATGGAGATGGAAATATCAGGAGTAGGCTAGCAATTTTCCAGCTAAGTAAGAGATTTGCTTACGTTTTTCAAACTTCTACAAGCCTAAACAGAAAAGTGCAACCTTATTGTGGAAATAAACCAGTTTTCAAAAAAGCACTATTCGCAACCAGCTCTGTTTTGTCTGAATTATACCCACGATATGATGTGGACAATACAATTTATGCCCCTTTCCAGGGAAAAAACTAAAAGGCTGAAGGGTGAGAGAAATAATTTCGGTACGCTATGAAAGGAGTCACGTCTTCCCTGAAGCATACTACCGAACCTTCAATCGTGGGATATAACTACAAAATGGAAAGTTGTAGTCAATCTAAACTTCAAACCAACTGAGATGCAATAGACGCGATTTTCAGCAGGACAAAGCACTTACTCGGAATATTCTATCTATTCGGCTGATTCTCACATAGATAGCTGCATAGGAAATGGTACTGCATAAACCAGGAGCTATCGTAGCCCAAGAACAAACATACATTGTGGGTCTGTGAGACAGAACGATGATTGGTGTTACGTATGAACAGAAGATACCGGCAAATAGCACTAGGGTAGTCTCGCGACCGGACGCACGAATCACTGGTGTATTCCAGTTATGCAGGTAGATCGCAAGCACCAATGATGAAAGCAGAATTGCCACCACGCATAACGCGCACATTGCGATGGCCGATGGATCAGCAATCGACATGAAATCGACAGGCAAATCGTCACATTTTGTCTGATTTTGATTAGGCCGGGTCCCCGGTGCACAGTAAACGCAGGCTGTAGCTTTTGGCACATGGTTGTTATTGCTTCTGTCAACTGTTTCTACAATAGCGTCCTTCGAACATTCCGTACATTTCCAACAGCAAGGAATTTGTGTATCGTACGTAGTTGCACTTCCGACTTCACAGGGATTGCAGCATCGAGAATAGGGATATTTGGCTGTTACCAAATCCTCGACAACTCCAGTGGCGTTGCAAATGGCTGTGGATGAGGTTCAATAAAAACGTTTGCCAGGAACCAAACAAATAAACAAACTATCAACACATCAAGATACTCACTTTCATTACCACTATTTTAGACTCTGTATCTGGGAGCGTAATGATTGTACAAATTGTAATAAATAACGTACATCTAAACGTCCTCTCGTTAAAAAACACCTAGGTTTTGAGCGAAAAGTGTAGTTGTAACAACAAATGAAAAGATCTGATTTAAATTCTCCACGCAACTCCATCGAAACTAGTGTAAGGCCCATATTCTCAACATGATCGTTTATGTATATACGATTGTCTTTAATTTTTGAAGTAACCGAATGTAAACCTTGTTTACGAAGCTTTATATAGAGTAACATCAAGATCGTATCAGCCAGTTGGGTGACAATGGCGCTAGTAATGAACCTACACGTTCCAGCTGCTAGTCGAAACTGGCATGTCAAAAATGCCGTGTCATTTATCCTATTAATTCTGCTGCGCACCGAAGGTAGGCTGTTGTGGTTTGGAACTGCAGCATGACTTTGTATTATAGGAGCATTAGATGAGTATTCGTATACTGCTGTTCGGTTCGCAGAATGGTTTGCCGAAGCGTTTACCGTACATGCAAAAACATAATTTTACTAATGTCATACTGGCAAGGAACGAAAACCGATCCGAAAGCAAATCTAAGGCCGAATTCCAGCCCCTGGTTAACATGAAAATTAACCGGTCACGGCCAAAAGGAAATCGATTTTTACCAATCTTCATTTCAGGGGATCTGGCCACAGATGTCTGATCCGATATCTGCCTCACAAAATTAGGCAAAGGTTTCCTTCACCCAAAGCGTGGTTCATAGCTACTCAGCTGTTGTCTGCATGCTGAACGTATGGTTGTCTCTGTCATGAATGATAACTCCAGCTGACATAGGTCACGCTGATATATGGTTACCTACGCATTCACACAGCTGACGCGCTGGCACCCTGGAGTGCTTTCAATTAAGAGACTGCGCCCAGTTACTGCAATAAACTCAAGCAGATTAAGAATATGCACAATGCAAGGTCACTCGTCAACAAGTGAAAACGTGGTGTGATGGATGAGTGACACTGCATCCTGCTGATCAGCCGATCAAGGCCGAACTGTTTGGTGTTCAAAACGACAACACGGGAGATGGTGAGTTTGAGTAGTCCTGCAAATTCGTGTGACTACTTTCGCTTACATTGCCACGTCCTAATTGAAAAAAAAACAAGTGACATTTTTTCAAAAAGCCATGTTAACTTTACTACTGATCGCAAGTTTTTATAGGCAAAAGCCAAGGAAGCTGAATAGCTTGAGAAACCTACAACAAATACACTCATTTGCACATCAATTTGTTCTTCACGAGGGACTCCTTTGGATCGCGGCTGAATCTGTCGCTTATGGTATTTTTCTTTCAAATGAGGCAGCCTGGTGCGGCATATTCAGTTGAAGAACATCGCAAACGAGATTCAGCTGAGATTTAGGCGAGTCTGTCGTGAAAGCCAATTTGGATAGCAAATGAATGAGCCAAATTTCTCGCAAACATAAGGTTGACCGAAACTTGGGGAATGCGCCTACCTGATGAGCCCCCAAAAAGATGAAGTTGGTCGTGGGCTGCCTAATAACTTTCAGCAACCTTAGGACTGGTGTGTTACGTCTTCAACTGGAACTAGAACTGGCAACTTTATCCCATAAAAGCGGTGTATTGGGGCACCTCCGACTCACCATTCGAAACAGGGGCTCCTATAAGTTGGAATTAATTTGGGCCAGTCAAGGAGGGTTATAGCGTTTATACAAAAAACATGGGCATTAATATAAAATAGAATGCCATTCCATATGCAGTCATGGAAGTTGCATCACCATGTCGTGTATCCTCAAGAACCTACTTCAATTCCTGATGGGGTGGAAAAGTTCTAGAAGTTCTAAACAATTTAGACATTACAGTTTACATTGGAAGGCACTCATAACTGAAGTTGACTTTGGCATCCTGATAGAAACTGAGAAATACTATTTCCGGGTAGTCCGTCTATCGCAGTTACAATTGGTTTTGAGCATCATGTAGATGACTGGACTAAGTCATCAGGATCCATGTAGAGAGACCGGATCAATTAAAAATACTAGGATCCAGAACAGTCTGTCTCTATGGGTAATAAGCAGGTCCCAAATAGTTTCATCCCTAAGTAACGAACAAGATGCCCAGTTGTTACATAGTGAAATTTCTCTGACAACTCGATTGTCGAACAGCTTTGGTCAACGTAGTAGGATAAACGTTATACTTACGAGTTTTTGTGGACGCATCACACTCAGCAAAGGTATGCCACAACGCTCCTCCACCAATATGCGCCAGAATTGTAAATTGCGGCTTACCGTCTCCCTCCATAGTAAAATGAAATTCCTCACCTCCAAAACCTTGAACAAACCAAAAGTAAATAAGCTGTATTACACTAATTCTAGCAACCAAACTTCATAAATGAACACTGCTTAGAGTCAAATATATAATTTGTTTACTATGCTAAGTGGAGATTCTCGGGAAATTTTTCTGGTAGTTACATGTTCCCCGTTGTGTTTCATAAGTTTGTTTGCCTAAAAAAACTGAACAATAAGTGAGCCTAACTTATTCTGGGATGAGGTGGTTTCCAATCATCAGATGGCTCCACGTGAATAAGAAACTGTACATATCCAATGTGATTTGATATAGTTTCACACGGCAGTGTATCAAGAACGATAGGATAGGATACTTATTAGGATATGTATCTCTTCACATTGCAGCTGTTCGTCTGCGATCAGAGTTAGTTCCTCAAAATAAACACCAGGAAAATCAAACGTTTGCTTGGGGGACTCCTCAGATAAACATAGGCTCCATTTACAGTGATCCTGCATATATCTTCAAACGACAAAAAACGTTGTTTGATTTTTCCGAAACCTAGTGATGTACACGTGTTTGGCTAGGTTATTTTGCCTTAGCATCCAAGAAGTATATCATCTGGACCGAATTAATCGAAATACACAACTGCCTGGTTAGTTGTCTTTCAGAATTACGATAGATCTTTACGTTCTTCTTGCGTTAAGGGATTCAGATAAAAACAACGGTGGGATGTTGAATTGGATTGTGTACAAAAATCTAAATGCCCTTGTAAAATAGGTTTTAGGGGGCCGTTTCCGGAATACTGCCAGCCATTATACGGTACGTTTGTTTGGCAGGTCCATACGGTCTGTCTCTGTGCGCATTCATGCCTCTACACCTCGAAACTTTATATAGTAGAAAAATTATCCATTCAGCAATTCCACTGAAAGCGATGGGTGCACAGATGAAGATCTAAGCAACAGCAGGTTGAGTGCGTTTCCGGGGGTGCATACGCTACAAGTCTAACAAAATACGATCAAAATGCATTTGCGTAGGCCTGTTTCACGTGATTCAGTTTAACCCTCATCCACAAACTGGATACTTTATCGCCAGCCGTTGTCCTTCCTTATTCCAAATTATTCCTATTAAGACTGCCTAGTAAAAGAAAACGACAGGACAAGAATATCCTGAATGGATTTTGTTAGCCCAAGCATGTTTCTCTTATTCACCTGAGTGTATTGAAAGCTAAGTTACTAATTTCCATTCCACGTCTAACTCTCTTTTTAATATAATTCACTAAACAAACTTTCCTTAAATGAAATCCGGATTCTTCTCAAAATTTAAGTCCACTGCCAATGGACTTAACAGATGAATTTAACATGGTCAGTCTCAAACGTGTTTCCCCCTGAACACGCTCAGCCATCACGAGCATGCCCTTGTCAATAACCCAGACTCCTCCCATATTTTGTGCTACACTGACCCACATTTCAACTAACGTTCATCAAAAATTTCAACCAGCGGACACATTTGTAGCGGCGTGACGATCCCCATTCTGTCGTTGAGTTGAGGGCGGACCTGGTGGACTCATTGCGTCTACAGGACTTCCCTATGGTTGCTTGGTGTCCATCCCACTTAGACGGGGTTGTCTCGTGGAGAGATTTTTCTTTTGCAACTGAAGAGGTAGTTCCTTAAACATCGCAAGTTTACCGGGCGGGATGAAAATGTCTAAAAATTGGGACGTAGGCCCCAATGAAAAACCCATGTGCTTAGACATAAAGTTACATGAAGAGCCACAGAGAACAAAGTTTAATTGTCTGGTCATAAAAAATTCAAGGTTCGTTTTTTGAAAAATGTTCTAAAACATTAGTTTTGATTTTACATAAAATGTTCACATAAAATTTTCTACTCTGGAATCTATTTATCTGTCATCCAATCATCTATCTACTTATCTACTTATCTAATTATCTATCTATCTATCTATCTATCTAACTACCTATCTATCTTCTATCTATCTATCTATCTATCTATCTATCTATCTATCTATCTATCTATCTATCTATCTATCTATCTATCTATCTATCTATCTATCTATCTATCTATCTATCTATCTATCTATCTATCTATCTATCTATCTATCTATCTATCTATCTATCTATCTATCTATCTATCTATCTATCTATCTATCTATCTATCTATCTATCTATCTATCTATCTATCTATCTATCTATCTATCTATCTATCTATCTATCTATCTATCTATCTATCTATCTATCTATCTATCTATCTATCTATCTATCTATCTATCTATCTATCTATCTATCTATCTATCTATCTATCTATCTATCTATCTATCTATCTATCTATCTATCTATCTATCTATCTATCTATCTATCTATCTATCTATCTATCTATCTATCTATCTATCTATCTATCTATCTATCTATCTATCTATCTATCTATCTATCTATCTATCTATCTATCTATCTATCTATCTATCTATCTATCTATCTATCTATCTATCTATCTATCTATCTATCTATCTATCTATCTATCTATCTATCTATCTATCTATCTATCTATCTATCTATCTATCTATCTATCTATCTATCTATCTATCTATCTATCTATCTATCTATCTATCTATCTATCTATCTATCTATCTATCTATCTATCTATCTATCTATCTATCTATCTATCTATCTATCTATCTATCTATCTATCTATCTATCTATCTATCTATCTATCTATCTATCTATCTATCTATCTATCTATCTATCTATCTATCTATCTATCTATCTATCTATCTATCTATCTATCTATCTATCTATCTATCTATCTATCTATCTATCTATCTATCTATCTATCTATCTATCTATCTATCTATCTATCTATCTATCTATCTATCTATCTATCTATCTATCTATCTATCTATCTATCTATCTATCTATCTATCTATCTATCTATCTATCTATCTATCTATCTATCTATCTATCTATCTATCTATCTATCTATCTATCTATCTATCTATCTATCTATCTATCTATCTATCTATCTATCTATCTATCTATCTATCTATCTATCTATCTATCTATCTATCTATCTATCTATCTATCTATCTATCTATCTATCTATCTATCTATCTATCTATCTATCTATCTATCTATCTATCTATCTATCTATCTATCTATCTATCTATCTATCTATCTATCTATCTATCTATCTATCTATCTATCTATCTATCTATCTATCTATCTATCTATCTATCTATCTATCTATCTATCTATCTATCTATCTATCTATCTATCTATCTATCTATCTAACGTGTGTCCGTCTCTCTAACTCTATTTTTATCTACCTGTTTTCATACCTGTGAACGAAATGGTATCCAGGATTTTTAAGACGCGATTACGGAATGCTATTGATCCGTCTGGGTAACATGGGCCATCTCGTGAACATCTGTCCTGAATTTTCTTCAAGGATTCAGCTACGGCTAGAACAGCGTTAACTGTGTTCGGAAGGTAGAAGATTGCATCTGGCGGAGAAAAATGAGAGAAACCTATAATTTAGATGTCAGGATGGTTTGTATAAGCAGAGTAGTGGTCTTGGAGTTATATTCTGGAAACCGTATTAGGAGGAAAAGTTCGTCGCATCTAGTTCACTGTACGTTGACAACGTTCTGCATTTCAACCACCCGTTTTTACTGCATTGAAAATGGTCTCTCATGTTACCTGGAATGCCAGTTCCAAAACTGTTCTCAACATACTAATTCTGCATGACACTCAAGTGTAACTAGCTCAAACACTGATTTAATTAGTACCTTATTTCGTGCCAAAATGGCTCGAAATTCGGCGTGTCATCGATGAACGTAAGTTTTGGAAAGTTATAAAATCCCAATAAATAACTGAACAGGATTGCATCTGAAACTGAGACTACAACGAAACAAACTATGGTGCAAGGCAGGAACTATCAACAAACTTGGTAGAGTGTGTTGGCAAGCCTGTCAAATGGCATAGCGTCTGCAGCAGCTTTCTAAGCTTAGCAGCAAGGTATATTTGAACCCTCATAAATGCTTGATTGAGTTGAACATATATACTGAAACGTGTTGGGATATGTACCTTGTTCTGCTCTCTCGTGGTGGATTTTCGTTCGTTCGCACTGATTGTGTAGCCTCTCGGTAAAGAACACTGCACACGGCAACTAAGTAACGTCACTACGTCGCACTACTGTGTGCTCCCTCACGACTGATGCTATCTTTGACGTCCACTAGTTATCTAGCGTGACTTTCTGAAATCGGTCTCCTTAGTTGACTCATACATACGGATTTGATGACACAAATGAAAAGGTGTCACCTGCAAAAGGTGGGGCGGGTTGACACCACATTCCGGTAAAACAGGGTATCACCAGCGGCTGCAAATCGTTTGTTGCACAAACAAATTTAGTCAGAAACTCTGCAACTAAACACAGTGTTGATAAAGTCAAAAAACCAGGCCAACGCACTTCGGTCATAACCAAGGATTGGAGTGTACTTCGATCGGTGGCCTGGATTTTTGGAAATCACACGGTGACACCTGGATGGCATGACTTGTTTCCCCTATAATGTCAAAAGAGTTTTCCATAACATTCTGTCATTTCTAGCAGTGATACACAGAACCTTCCTTACCGTGCTGTGAAAGAATATCGCGATACATATATATTTCTGTAACGTATAATGTCAAAAGAGTTTTCCATGATATTCTGTCATTTCTAGCAGTGATACACAGCGCCTTCCTTACCGTGCTGTGGTTTCGTGAAACGTTTGTGAAAGAATATCGCGATACATATATATATCTGTAACACACTACTCCTAAGATTGCTGAAAACTCTGAAATAAACTATCCAACAGCAACCTTATTAGCTGTGTCGCTTTAAAAACAAAAAAAAACTTGTAACAGCAATATGCTGCAATGCAATATGTCCAATGCTTGGATTGGGTAGTTCACAATCAACGCGCCGATTTGATCATGCTTGATTAGTCATGAAAGATCAGCCTTCCGAATCAGGTTTCTCAGTCAACTGTGTTCAAATCACTGGACGTCTGCGCACAGTAGGAAGCCATGAAAATATTTTGTGTGGAAACGAATGTAGTGCTGCGCGCGAGATCCAGGTGCTGACGTTAACGTGATATAATAGGGCAGGTTGGCAAATGTTGCAGAAATCAAATGAAGCTTTCTAGTTCTCCCGTTTCCCCACATGTATCTTTAATGAATTTTCTGATCCATGAATTGGTGAGACGCGCATTTTATTATGCCTCAAAGACCGACCCGTATTGCACTCAGTACTAACCATTTTTACTGCCACCACATTACAGAGAGCCCTTCACCCCCAATGATATAATTTATTAGATGTCCATGATCGGTTATTTGATGAATCCATGTGGCAAGCGGCGTCCGTTCAACGTTGGATCCCTCGTTTGTCATTGATAGAATAGTTAACTGTTAGCGCGATTTTGTCGTCTATCTGGACCACATACCTTCTTTCTTTTCCCTCTGTGATGGATGGAGCCGTGTATGCAAATGTCACTGAACACTGATGAGTTGATTCCGAGGGTCCCCATTTAGGGTAGCAGCACCTATCATCCCCACTGAATTTACTGGTTACTGTTTTCAAACTGCGTTGCCGGGTCTGCCGATCGTTGTAAAGAGCTGATGAAAAATAGGTTTTTGAGGTACAGAGTCTTAATCTGTGTAACCTACGAAGCTTTGACAGCACATCGATTGAGGGCTAGCCTATTCCTATAAGACCAACAGCACTAATCAGATGTTCCCTCCGTCTAAGATTCGCATACACCGGTAGCCAAACGCTGAGATTTCTTCTCCATCCTCTGAACGTACAGGCCACGTTCCTGACCCATCAGACAGCACGTTTGCACCCTCACGATGTTGCTTCTCTACTTGAAAAACAGGCATCGTAGATTGGCAAACGCTGTCCTGACACTTTGGGTTGGACAAACGATGTCGTCGTCATTTATTACGGCGGAAACTGCGCAGGTGCTCAAGTGAACGAATTCGCCTGCTACTGTGATCGGCTCGTCGGTACGCATGAGGTTTGGGCTTGATCCCACCCTTTATTGTAGCAGCAGTTTACAATTTTTAGTTGTGAAGATCATACCAAACCATATGGCAGAGTTATTTACGCCTGGACGGGAGGACGACATTTCAAACGAGAGTTATGTGAATATGAGTAATACATAACCCGCAAACCCCACAACATAAATCAAAAAGTCGTCCAGCGAACCCCAGGCGTCTGTGGCACTACCTCACTGGGAAGTCATGCCTAAGTGGGTTAACCTATCGCCACAACCAATGAACCGTGCACATCGATCACATCGCTCAGGCGTAGACACGTGCGCCTGTCCAAACGTGGAAATTCATTTGTAGCAGACGTGTGCTGGTGGAGTGGTGGCAACACGCTCGCTTTGCATGTCAGATGTCCGGCGTTCAAAACCCGGCACGGTCATTGGGTATGCACTGCTGATGAGCTCTAAGAAGAGCTAAACTCGAGTCCAGTGCTTCTCCCTTTGATGTGGGATCGCCAGAAAATTACGCTAGAACAGGAGGACGAACGTTTAAGCGAGTGATATGAATTTGAACAATACATATCCCACAAGCCTCACAACAGAATTACTTGGTCATTCAGAATGGCTTATGTCCAAGTAGAGCATACCTGCCATCTGCAAGCGAGCGCCCCAGGAGCATTTCGACTCCTTAAGTGTCAGAGGCAGGCAGATGAATTTCCAGCAACATATGAATAAAAAATTGAAGAGGAATTTTGAGAAAGAGAAGCCTTTTCTTACACCACTAGAAGTGGTGACCTCAGACAGCAGTTTACTGTCCACTCGTAAGCGCCCAGAGCAGTTCGCGTACTGCGCTCTCATAAGGTATATAAATGTGGAAGAGACACTGGTCGCTGTACACCACCGGCCAACGGAATCAAAAACAGCTTTCAGATCAACAATAAAAGACCAGCAAGGGACGGCCGAAAAAGTGGCGCTGTTCAAGAACATATCCCAAGTTAAAGGTATCGTCAATGTTTTCTTCATCAGAGTGTTACCCAGTATGAGTCTCAAGAAAGTGCCTGTACTGAAAACCAAGTGAGTTGCATAAAATGGTGCAACGAGGCATGTTCGATGCGAAGGCAACCGGGCTGTATTTTACATGAAATTTTCGTATCTCTCTGATGGTTTAGCTGCATGATGTAAATTCTCGGCTTGAGTCGGTATTCTATCAGGCTTCCAAATATCCTGCATTAAGGCTGTCAAACTTGTCACCATGATGAATTTTTTTGGAAACCGCATACTGCAAAGTATCCGGGCCAGGTGACTTGTGTTGGACGAATAGCTCGTACGTTATTTCTGTTGCTGATAGCTGGTTGCCGCTGATATTCCATCCAGATTCCCTGAATTCTCCCAGAGAATGTCGAATGAGACCATCTAAACTGTTGTTTAAAATGTTCAGTCCATCCGCCAAGAAGATAATAGTGTAGAAAAATTTCTATTCCCTCATTTCCGTATTTCCTTTTACTTCTTTTTCTTTCAAATAGCTGACCTAATCAGCTGAAAAATGGGCGAAGCTGTTGATCGTGACAGAAATTCCCATATCCTAGTCCAAAGGAAGTGCCACGTTATTCTCGAGAGACTGTTGCCTTTCCAGAGTTCGAGTGATCCACGTGTGTTAGTTTCTAGTGTAGATTATCCGGCAGCAATAGGGCCTGCTGATCTCGACGACATCCAACATACATTTAGTTGAGTCGGAAGACCTGGACAAGGCTTTATGAGCCGACGACACAGCTTCTTTCATCTGCTTCCACTTAACCTCTAACCAACCTTCTTTATCGGCGCCACTGTGCGTTTCTAGCCAGACGAGCTCGGTACTGTTGAGCTACTGGAGATGGTCGATGAACGGATAAGCTACGCTTTGCCACATGTAATGCCGGGTGATAACTATCCCGGCGCAACAGCATGATGAGAGTTTTTGGGAAGGGGGTGGATTTTCCTACTGACAACAGTCACCGCACAACTGTAGAGGCCGCTCCCCACTATCCGTGCGCTGAACATCAAATCCGAATTTATCACCTAGCTATACATCTTCGGGGCTTGGTCGATCAACTTATACATTCAAATCACCACCAACATATACACACCTGATGATATTTGATATCCGATAAAACCCATCTTTCTTAGCTGAAACAAACTGCAGTCTGTGTGACTATTGCATTAAACAAAACACGAGAAACTTATTACTATCATTATGGAAGTAGTAGTATTATACCCACGAGTATTTCCGTCGGTCTAATACTCCACAATCAAGGATTTGGAATGCAGGAAACCCTCAGTAAACTGACCATCGTTCAACAAGCTAACGCACTGCTGTTCTCGCTCTTCCGTACATCCGATCGGGTCCTTATACGTGGTCACAGTTCCGTTCGGAATACAGGAACATTCCCACATAAGATACTCCTCACGCCATGTGTTCTGTCCGTAGGATCGGTTGAGACTGAATTGTAGGGGAGAAGAAACGGTGCTGGGTAACAAGACATTTGGTTGGTTGGATGGATTATGAACCCTGAGATAAGCATGGGGAACTCCAGGAACTTTTGCAGAGCTGAGGAAAACTTTATCGACAGTCTGAAATACCTATGAATTTTGGCCCAAGTTAGCTCAGGTGTATATGCAGCTAGATAGTGTTACTTCTTACAGTTAGGTATGTGAAGTGGTTAGGCTGCTGAACACAATCAACAGCTATTTCTGTACAAACGAAAATGCCATTAAGATGCCCTGACAAAGTGGGGAAGGTTGTTGAAAACAAACTATTTCAGGGACTTTGTCAGCTGCTTCCATGCTCATTTACACGAGAAAAATGGCGTTGTGTTCAGCGTTCATGTGGGAAATTTTCTCTCCTACTGATTTGACATGAAATGAAACGGAACTAACTGAGGCGTCATCATGTGCTTTATTAAAATGCGAGCTGTGTCGCCGTGTCACAATAGCCACACAACGCCCTACGCTGGATAATAATTGCTTCGCCCATGCGTCCGAGTAAAAAAAATATCGGTCACTAACATGCAAAAACCTACAGCAGATTTTGAATGGAATGCTTTGAATTTGTACAACAGGTTAGGTAAACCCTGTCCGAGGGTCGCGAAGTTTACTAATCCCATGGAGTATGATGGAAATAGATTGGCAAACAGGACAAGGTTTTAGCCAGGTAAAGTAGTTAGCTGAAGAGCCATTGATAGATTTACTACTTCGCGAGGCATGATCTGCCCATCACCGGCCATCTCTGTATACAGCCAAACAGACACTGCTAGTTCAGTCAGACATGTTTGGTTTAAATCAATTGGAAAAAGTAACGTTGCCCAAATAAAAACTACCGATTGTTTACCAAGCTCTTCTGAAATGATGTTTGGTTTAATTTTTCATATTATCTTGAAACAAGTTTATAACCGAGGGAGGGACTAAACTAACACACCAGTCCTTAATTTGAATGAATTAAACGAAGGACATAGGGAGGGTGACAGATGGCCAACCAAACCAATGCCTGAAATATTCACCCAGTATTCTGAATGCTAGCTTATTTTACGTACTAGATTTCCAATAATATTCCCGACTACCTCACCAGGCGACTATCTCTCGGGTACAGTTATTGACCGCCTGAAACAGGTTACGTGTACTAACTACTCTCATTTGCACGCGGACTTTGTTCTGACGGGAGACTCAGCTGAATCCAGCCAGATCTCTCGTTCAAAGTATCTAGCTCGAATGTTACATGTGCAGCCGATGATGCAACATGGGGTTGTGATGTATCAAGTGACTTTTGCAGAATGCATACATTATGAGAGGACCTAGGATATCGACTCGGCAAATGAGCGACAATCTCCGATGTCGTTCATTGTACTCAGATAAATGAGGCCGTTTTTTATGAAATAGTTTCATAAAAACCTATGACAATTTTAAGAGTCACGAATCATCATCATCATCATCAAAGACATCAGTGCTAACACTGATGCTGCTGCCATACAACCAGAAGCCAAGAAGACGCTTGTTTTTTTCAAAGCAATATAAGGTTCTGATCGCAATTAGAATACTGTGCAAACTAAAATACTGAGAATCAAGCAGGCATTGTTGACGGACTCTTTAAAATTGTGCTACTGTGATAAACTCATTAACCAAACTCGCTCAAAGAAATGCAGTTTAAGCAATTCAACAAAAGATCAAACGACTGGATGCAATCCTGCCATACTCCCCTCAAAAACTTGTGGGACAAAAGCGATTTCCACGCTGTTAATCAACAACTTGGTTGACACCAGGAATGGCCTGATGTCAAATGACATATGGTTTTGGAGAAATAAATCACTGGACAAGGACTGGATTGAAGCAAATCTCAATCTGAAGTCTTTAGTTGCCTCACTAACTGCAGACTGCAGAAATGATAATTCATGTCCAAGTCCCCCTGCACGATTTGGAAGCGACCCGCCAAAACAGACAGAAGCTGCCGGGAGTCCCTTACTTTCAAATTGGGGGCAGTGTACGCAGATCCCATGTAAGTCGTTTGAAAACTGATTAAAAAGGAAACACTGTACATCCAGTGCGTTTCCATACCTCACACTATATGCTTCGAGCTCATCCGAATATCGCAAGCGTGGAAGGACGAGAAGTACATTATTGATATTTTTGAAACTCGTTCGTTCACCTTCGTTTTGGGCGGTTTGATTCGGCCGCAGCATGGGAAAATCTGGTTCTATTGTGTTTGTGCCAATCCAAAGGAAACGATCGCGCTTCTCATGTGGCCACCTCTGCACAGCTTTCAGGGCCAAATCCCCAAGATGTGCGGAACACAAGATCAGGTTAACTGAAAAGATGTAGTAATGAATTTCACGGAAGCTTACTCTTGAGAAACGGTGTGTCTGTGATATCTGACAGCACAAAAAATAGAACGCATAAAAAAATTGCATTCCTCTAGTTTTCATATGAACTTGTTTGGAACGAGAAGACGTTAGCTTGAACTGAACTGTTCACTTGCCTCGTCGTTTACGTAAATTCGACATCAAGACAGGTGTAGAACAATTGACAGATTTTTGGATAAACGTACACAGATTAGTGGGATCATTACAAAGGGAAGCTTCTCGTTCTGGAAGGTCGGACCTCAGTAAGATGAAACGTCGGCTCAACAAGAAACTTACAACAACTGAAGCACGATATCGGTCAAGCATGGTGATATTCACATGCACCTATACTCAATATACGGAGGAGATACTATGATTTGCCAAAAGTGCATAAAACGGACTCTCCACACATAAGACGACGGACAACGGGCACATCTGTAATTTACCTTGGTTACAAATGTTGAGTAATCATATATTTCTCGCATGTTTTTTTCCAAAACCCTATCCGCTAAACCAGTAATTTACTGGAGCATTCTACATAACCAACATTCAGTTGATGATTTCAGCCTTAGAACTCAAAGAGTTGTTGGTTAGAAATGTTGTGCACTGCACATGCAAACGTGCCAAGTGGTAAAACCATAAGGTATCGAGTTTTGACTTCAGGAATTTCAATCAGTTAGATTATTCACATTTGCAATTTTGGGGTTTTGCGGGATAGGTATTTTTGTTCGTAGTCACACCACTCTAGTTTGAACGGTCGTTCTGGCGTAATTATTCCGGTGAGTCCACACCAAAGGGACATTTGGGTTCCACCACTGCGTGATGCTATTTGGCTTGTGGTCATTTTTAGGGGGAGATATCAGTCCTCGAGGAAATAAATCGTGGATCTAATAAAAGAGTACGAGATCCAGAGTCAGGATGCCTCCATAAAAAGTTATTTATACTTGGTGAAGAGCGACATCACTTTGTTCTCCATCTAGGTTGGTTGCAAACTGCCCCCTCGACTAGTCTACGTAACGGAGGGAAGGGAATGAAACGCGTAAAGCTCTAAAGCTTGTGTAACGTGTGAAATGACGAGAAGATGACGAACCAGCTGTTTCTAGATTCCAGGCCAAATAGTCACCACCCCCAAAGTTGTATTTGTCCTTTTGGATAGCCATTCTCACAACCTAGAATAATATAGAACAAAGTTCTCCTAAGGAACCAACATCTGACCGAGGGTAAGTCGGTGTGTACAAAGCTTATTGTGAATTTCTTATCACCTAAGTGTCCACTCATGACGAATATCGCTCAGGTAGACTGGAAAAGACTTCTTGTCCAAATAACTATATCAACTACCAAAGGTTTCACTCAGCGACTGAGACTGCGTGAAGATATCCGCGTTCGACCTCGTTCCACTGGATGTCGGTGAACCAGTAACCACAGTCAGTGAGCCTCAATCAGAGGCAAGATGCGCCGTCCTGACTACCCTAATAAATCTGCTGAACCTTCTACTTCAAGTCCTTCTGATGCAGGAGGCAGTTATCTCCAAATACCTTCTTTTCCGGTGGTTTCTGTTGCTTGACGCAAACCTACAGCTTGCTAATTGGTGTTGGCCAACCGACAGTAAAAATCAAAAGTTAGCCTCCTAGTGCTGCTCGACGATAATAGCTCTGGAGAACTCCGGCACCCCCTCCATTTTACTTTTCTTGTGTCGACTTATTCTCTACTGAGACCGTCTGGTCATTGCATGTGTCCAGCAGTTCCATCACATATCCGGCAGAACTTTTTAGGTCTTTTTTGAAAATCTTAGAATAGAGAAAATACCGAACTACCGGATGTGAATACAATTACATCACTTTATCTCCCTTGATCCAAGGGTTACCAGTGCGGCGGCAATCGGTTGGAGCGTTTCCACGTGATTTACTTCTTCAAAGCTAGTCCGTGTAAAAGACTAAAATAACTGCCCACAAATTTTGGAAGTAGCCCGGTAGTGAGATGCGGGTCCATGGATGCTTTGCTGTATGTCCCGTGCTTATGCATATCCACGAATGCGAAATCACCCGCATGAGAAAAAGGGATTTTATCTGTTCTGAGAGAAATTTGCATAAGGAAGAACTGCTGTATTTAACCTCATTGAACTTCCCTTCAGTTCCATTCTTAACTGAGTGAGCTATTTCAAGAGGACAGTACTATTTCAATATCCAGATGAAATTTACGTTAGAAATATCTTGTTGAAGCTTGTCTGGATATGCACTGATAGGCTGTATACAATCTCGCGGATCATTGAACTCATGACCAACGAAGAGTTTAACGAGTTACCAACACTCACCTGCAGCGGAAGAATTCAGTAACTCGCTCATAGTTTGATCCATCTCCCACATGTCCGTATGACCATCGCTCAGCTGGATTCTTTTGTCAATACATAAAGTATGATTGCTATTTCTGAGCATTTCCAACAGTACGCCGTGATTGGACTCCCCATAGTCGGAATTATCTACTATCACGTTCACGTAGTTCCAATGATATACACTGAAATAAGAAGGTTGGAGGACGCGCTCTCGCTCATGTTTGAAGATATATGTTGACTTAGTAGTGTAATTGCTCGTTATTTCATCTAGTCACCGTTTTACCAGGCCTCTCATGAAATTATCTGACTTTCAAGGAACCCATGGTCATTACTTCACAAGGTGGTGTACCCGGAAATGCCAAAAGAGAGGATCGTGCAAGTAAGGATAATATATTTTCGAAAATGATCCTCTCTACAAATGAGAGTGAATCCAACAGAAGTGGGAAACAATTGAGTTGATTCGGTGCGCTTTCTCTGACTGTGTCAATACTCAACGACAATGCGGTAGGTTTTGCTATTTCTTGGTAGAATATTAACTGGCATTTAGTGTTCATAACGTGTATCCCCATGGGTCTTTCGTGGTTCTCACGTCAAACTGGTCTGTTGAATGAGCGTATATTTTTGGCTACCATGTATCTATCCCGTATCTCCGTTTGCTGGCAAAATATTCACTGAAAAACACCGGATAATGAACTCAGCCCAGACTTCGCTCCGTGTACGAATGCGTGCTGATTTTTCGTGGAGCAGGAAGACCACTGAGCTTATGCGGATGGTAAGGTTTTCGACATACGAGTCCAAACAAACTGCAAGATGACCGGTCAGTTTCAATGGTGGCTACGTTCAAGTTGATGTGCTGTCATTCTTAAGTTAACAAGCTATGCAATATTTCCCGTATTTTTTTCTTTAGAGCTTAACGACTTCATATTCTGACTCCCCGAAACGCACACATGATTCTGTAGCTCCCAGTTTGCATACCTACGGTGAGAGCTCTCAGTCCCACGTAATTTTTTCAGCGTTTGATATTTTCGACTGGGATAGGATGGCTGTCAGAGGTTTGTTTATTAAACATGTAGAAGAAGATTCACAGTGAGGAGTAACGGAAACCTCCAGGTTTATTCCTTTCTTCACAGGAAGATTCCTCATTGATGGAAATTACCACAATAAGAAAGTTTCTTACCTTACCAACCAGAAATTTACCGAGTGACTCACTCGCTGTCGTTTGAGCCTACTAATTTATAGCGGCTGGCATAATGTTTTAAGGGTTTCTTCAAAATTAACATGTACGATTCTTCCGAACTATCTAACTTCCATCAACCGTGATTAGCGTATAGTCACGTTGTTCAGAAGACGTTGAAGTCATATGTTAATGTCTGTCTTAACCATATACGAAGTACACCTATAATAGCCGCTAAATTAGTGAACTCAGTGTGGGCTTATTATAAGAGCTTACGGCTGTCTTATTCTACTCATGTGATTTCAGGTCTACTAGTAAACCTGGATATGCTTGAGGAAGTGCGTGCAAAGCAATGCTCTTCAGATTATTTCAAGCAAATTGTTTGCTGTGATTTAATATTTTTGCATCTACCTCAATTTTCGATTACTTCGGGTTCATTCTAAGTGGGGTTCTTTTGCTGTCCTCAGTGACCATTGAAGGATTATCCGCGCTACTAAACAAAGACCTGTGGCTGCTTCTTTGGCTCCACGGTGGTATTAACTGGTTCGTCAGTTTATGTGCTGATTGGATAACACAGATCTAATCTCCGATATGGTCGTTATTGGCCCTCATCCATTGGCTGGCTGAGAGAGCCCAGACCCTAACTTCTCCGTTTCTCACACTGTGACCTTTGTTGAAATGGTCCAAGCTGATTCCAGTCACCTGGCTCGTTGTGAGAACACTCGGTTTCTTGACTGTTCTGGTTAACTCGCCGGTCGAATGATTGTTGTTGCTCACTGAGTTCGAATATGGTCAACAGTCGACCACACAATGCTCATAGTCGGAACACGGTGCGGTCTTTACCTTAGGTCACAGACATCCTATAGATGAACATTTGCAGAATAAAACCCCCTCACTGAAAGCTCAACGTTGCTGTTTTCACTATAGTTGTATAACCACAAAATACTACATGGTTGTTGGATGAGTTCTAAGCGATGAATACTTTCCAATAATCGATTGAAAACCCATATCCAAATTTGCTCTGCAAAGTTAGAAATTGACAATTTTTTAATTCAGACTTTACTCAACCGCCCAAACTTTCAAGCATTTTAAGTTCAATTGACGTTTGCATTCGTGAATTCCGATATTTAACCAAGACACTGACGTCTATTTTTCGTAGTGTCAATAACTATGGGTTAGTTATTGATAAATTTTAGTCCAACTACAGCCTATAGATGACGTCGTGCACGAAAAATGTCACAAAATCTTTCAGCTCATTCAGCGTTAATCGTTCGAAAAATTTTCCTCAAACGCGAGAATAGATCGGATATTCCTGGCGCAGATAACAGTCGCTTGCTATCGATTTGCACAACTATTATGTGTCCTCCGTCTACAATAAACAATTCATGCGACACTCACTAAGCCGTGGTCTTGCTTCCTGGAATTTGAAGTAACGTTCAGAGTTGAATGTCGGTTAGATTAAAGCCTACCTTTGAATCCCCCTGAAGAGAATGTTTATACGTTACGGAAGCCTGAATAGAATAGAGGGCACAGAACTGGCAGTTGTCCGGAGAGCGGTTTTAGATGGGCCGAGATGACAAGAGACGATGTGTAGTTATTAATGGGATGCTTCCAGTTTAAAGTACAAAGTCAAGCATAGTAAGATCCACTCCTTTTCCCCGCCTAACTCAATCCACTTGTCCTGGTAAACCTTGGTGAACGTAGACCGAAGAAATCTGCGAACGACGCCCAAGAGGAATATTCCATTAAGGTGTCCCAGATCGGAAAAGCAAGGTCCAAACAGCAAAACTTGAAGACAGTCCTTCATAACCAATCTATCGCAAGTGTCAGTCACCCACACTAACCAGCAAACGGAAATTCAGGCTGACACCCAGCGTTGATCACGTCGACTTGTCATCAGAAATCTTACAAATTTGTTCTCTGACTGCTCCAAGACTCGCTCAACCTAGTAACTTATCCACCTAGCTTGACTAAGTTTTGGTGTTAAAAGGGAAAGGTTGTCCGGCAATACATCCGCCGACAGCTTATCTGACTTCCCTGAAACTATATGTTATGCATGTTATGACATGGGACCACTAACTAGCTACCATTAAAATCTCACCTTTCATTTTTTCTAGTTTTTCACTTGAATTTTTTCACGTATTTATAAAGTGTTCATATGGCGTTCGGTTCCGAAAGTCAAAATGGACTTTGAGCCTGAAAACATCGATTCTTTGTTAAGCCTCAGTGACATAAACCGCAGGTACATGCGTGCCTTACTTTCTGTCACTCGGTGACCGACACACCAGGTAGGTTTCAAAACTCAAACAAAGACAAGTGTAACGTCTTACTGTCGGTTAGAAGCTGGTAGAACCAATATGTTTACGGACTGATTGTCCTAGAGGAAAAATGGTAAGACGTGAAATAAAGTAAGCAAAGCTAAGATGTTAAGGAACCAAAGAATTGTCATCGGTGCAAAGTATTCTAGTTCGCAAATGGTCCTGAAACTGAAACTCTTTCGACAGGTTATCGTTGCAAGTATCTATCAGATAATAAGTGAAGCCTGTTTCCGACCACTTCTCATCGTTTCAGGCCCCGTAAGAACATGCTTTACGCCCCAGAGGGTAAATTTAAAGCAAAAAGGAGTCACAACAGTATAAACTATTGTATGATAACCTGTGAAAAAACAGCAACCGAAATGAAATCTCTATGGGAGAAAAACGAATAATCTGGTAAGATTCCTCGCCAGTAAGCGAGTATTCAATGAAATTATGGCAGTAAGTTGTTGGATCATATAGGAAATAACATATTCTCTATAGGGACTAAAACACGCAGCGTTTGAGTTGTGTTCTACAGGTGAAAACCGCTTCTGATAAGAAAATGTTAGGAGTGACTGAGTATCCGAAAGTGATCCAAAAGAAAAATATGATCAGGCATCAATGTCAGCACGACCAGTCGTTAAAGTTTCACAATGTCTAGGAGTGTTGTACAGTAACTTCACTTAATTGCAGCTATCCATTTCAAAGGAACCAGAGTCCGGGTACGTGATTACCACACGCAGTAGGATAACTTTGTTGTTGGAACCCTCATAATAAAATTTATGAACACAGATAAGAGCTTCAGACTGAATGATTAAAAGGATGGTTATCTGACTGTGATGAAGGTTGTCTCGAAACTAGAAGATGGGTTGACGTTTTCTGAGTGGTCTTTTCTCCAGTTTTTGAATGGGATATTAATGGCGGTAATGGATGGGAAGTAACAACACACGTTCCACTATCATTTGGGTGAGACCATTGAGAACAACAGTTTGTTACTTTAGGAGATAGACGGTGTCTTTTAATACTGTCAGAAGGGTGCATGAGTATGCTGTGGTTCTTTACTTTTGACACGTATGTTCACCATATGAACAACAAGCCATGGGCAATCTTCCCAAAGGGGAGACACTGGTTCATTGATGGAATTGTTGTACTAGTCGGGAAGTACGAATAAGAGGATGCTAGAGAACATTGTTTTCCTTTTCAAACTAATTTACCTGCGAAGATGACACTGAGTTGCATTTTTATAGGAAGCACCAGCGTTGGATCATCAGGAAATTCGCGGTTGAATCTGCTCCGGTAACAGTTTGAGACACGACCTACTTATGACCTTCTTAATTCCACAGTAAACTGCTAAATGGCGTATCACTATGGATGACATCCAAACACTTCATCTCTATTTTGTTCAACTCCATGAACTACACGTGATCAGTGAGCTTTTAGACCTTAGATGAAGGTGCATGTTATTCGAAAAAGACTATCTGTATTCTTTTGATTAATCTTGTTCTATTTAGTAACGGTCCAAAGGAAAGATTAGTGTTTGCTGTTCCAGCGAGCACTAAGAATGATCGTGATTGTTGGAGGTAGAAACCTGAACTAACAGCTCCGTAGATAGTTTAAAGTCCTCTCGAGTTATGCCGTTCACTCTAGCTCCCAAAATGTTGGACAAATAAACAAAGTCGTGACTATTCTTCCACCTCGCCGGAAACGGCTACGATATTGTAGTCAGAGGAGTTGAATAGGACACGCTTTTGGTATGAAAAACTGGGTTCTGTTGTTCGCAAACACAGTTTGAATGCCAAGCCTTGTGGGGAAGCTCGCATTCGTGATAAGACCATCGGCAGATATAGAAAGGCACCGAGAAAAGCATGTGCTCAGCGCTTTGGAGGAAGAACATGAATAGAACGCTAATTCGTGGATAGTACTTGATGGAATGCGTGTACGTGCGGGGATCATTCACAAATCGAGGTTTACGTTCCTGCACCAAACAGCAGACGGTGTTTGAGAGGAAATCACAATGCAAGTGTGGGATTTTAGTTTTTACCTTACGTAGTTGAGTATACCATCCAATCTATCGCAAACTATCTTGAGGTTGTTTGCACGACATGCAACTATCTATCTGAAGAGCCTAATTCTCCATCTTATTTCGCACCTAGATCTTCCCCACTGTGTTTTGCTATCACCTGCAATACGACCGTTCAGTGACGTTGTTTTTCTATCTAAGTAATCAGTGGATATCACTGATAAAATCTGAAGCTATCTGACACGAGTCCGGATGGCGCTATCGTCCGGTTAGCATAGTGCTTCCTTTTATGTCAATTCAAGGCATGTGAAAATTTCATCTGACTCTAAGCTGGTATCCTCTTAGGATTCATGGCCAAACCACCGGTTGAAACCGATGCATTTTAAAAAGTCACTGGCACTGAGAATTAGTTGATAAGACAACAAGGCGCTCATCGGTCACCCACAGCATCCTTAAGGTTTCCGTGTGCTCATTCCCAGGAAAGATAAAAGAGCTGGAGTGTTCCTTGCTTTTCGGCATACTAACTGCTTCTAATCAATGACACACAGGCGATTTTGTGTTGTAAACGTCAGGCATATTGGTGGAAGTTAAAGCGTTTGTGATAACTCACCCCAGTAGATGCACTATCGTCTTTATGGCATCTCTGACACTAGGTATTGTGCGATAGAATGTCGGATATCTTCCAGGCATACTCAGTTTTGGAGCAGCAGAATAGTAGCTGACCTGAAAGCAGAAAAGTAGTACAACTAATCAAGAACCCAACAAATCCTATTTAGTGCAGTTCTCAAAAATGACTGAAGGGATCATAACCATTACAGTGGCTCACTGCTCCTCACTGGTGTTTCAGCACGACGCTAGCACATCCACCAGAATTCCAGATTGTCATAGGTACAGCTGTCCCTCACTGGATGGGACCCATTCAGAAGCGGCCACCCTTCACCAAAGAACACTACTGTTTTGACCGCTGATGCATATTGTAATGATATCGAGCCTACCAGGGGAGGCCAACTTGTTGAAGGAACCATCCGTATATCAAATGCTCTCATGCCTAAGCCATGGAAGTGGGATCTCATAGAGCGGAAAACCGGATGATATCAACAGTCACTTTGTTGTAATCTAGAATGAAGTAGCTTCAATTCGGCACAATCAGTCTAGCACGTTTCTACGAGAAATCATTACATATGTCACCACTGATGCTTCTACGTAGCGCCGTTGGATGGCAACACTTGCCATTCGAGTCCGTCGCATTAAAGATCAGCAATTCGGTTCAGCAGAGCCCTATAAACATTTTTTTATTACTTGAACAAATCTTGGGTCTGATTACAGTCCAAAATATGTGCAGCTGTACATATCAGCACCCCTCCGGGCAATTCGATCATCTGCAGCATGATAATATCGCAACAGCTGATCGGGGAGATACTGCTAGCTTACAAAAGCTGATGGACTTAATCTCTTCCCATCTACCCAGTCTTCTTCTCCAAAACAGTTTGCACGCTAGAAACGCTGGCACATTCAGCTGATTCCTATCTCAGTGACTAGTTAATAGACACGTTAAAATGTGCTCACAGAACTACACTTTTGTTTGACGGACACTTGCGAACTCAAGCAGACTGGGTTGCAATGGGCAGTCCACTGGATTCCATTCGTAGTGAGAAGTTCATGATTGGCCGACAGAGGACGTATATGGGTTTTATTATATGTATATATACCTGTTTCTTTGTCTCAGGATTCGGTCTTCGTATGCCTGTGCATCGCCTTTACTCTCCTTTCTTATGCAGCAGAGTTCTCAAGTTCCAGGTCCGAAGCTGTGGGGGACTTGTCATCTTTGCCTCGTTGGTTGGTACCATGTGTGAGGAAGTGGCTATGACAAGTAGGATTGGAAATAGGGGCCTATTCTGGCACCGGGTACCAATCTATCGACCTCAACGTCTGTCCCAGAAGTGTAATGCTACATGAGAATTCTGGTCAATGTCAACCCTTGAGTGATCGGGGCATGTGATTTCGGAGGCCGGACTTATGGAGGAAAATTTCGTCGCTTCTTCCAAAACCTGATGACACATGTCACCTGGTGGAAACAGCCTACGGTTCTTAAGCACGCCACAGGAAACAGTATGATTTCACCTCCAAACCACCTCGTTATTCAATTTCCGGAAAAAACGGACCGGCCACTCTACCTAAGGCTGCCTACCTTTGATATCTTTGTAATAGTTGAACTGACTGGCACCCGTTTCGGTCCTTAAGATTGTCATCATCCAACAGGGATTCACCCGGGTTTCTCATTGAGGCTAAGCTATTGATGAAATGAGTTTGTCTTGAAAAATTCATACAATTTGGGTTCAAGTAGCATATGAATTACATGAAAAATCGGGGACTACGCCTACCAGGTGACCCCCAGGAGCACGAAACACGTTGTGGTCTATTAGAAAGTTTCCAGAAAACCAATATTCAGCTTCTTAGGGAAACAAGAATTACTGTTTTGTTGCTAAATCTACCTGACAACGTGTGAGCGCTTATAAGAAAATAACACCATGGAACATTTAGCATTTTGGCTGTTTAGAAATGTAGAGAAAAAACATCACATTTTCTGTAAAATCTGTTGGTGACATACTACTCGAGCCATAATGCAACACTGTATTTGTTGAGACATTCAGCGAGCAATTTTGATGTGTGTTCTAGTCACATGTTTAGTTATGCATGAAGAGAGCCACTCCCGGGGTTTCAAAAGGATTTTGCCATTTTAGGCAGGTAAATATGAGGAAACTTTGGGATTAGTCAGTTTACATTCCAAGTGCCTATTATAATTATATTATAAACTAAGTCAAGTCACAATGTGAACTCAGTACTTGACAGAGTTAGGGGTAGTTCCGATCCTTATTTTCAAGAGCCGACAGATTCGCTTTGGTAGCAAATATACAGGAAGAAAAGCACTCCAAACGGTGCGCTTTAAAACTTCATTTTATGTTTGGGTGGTTCGATTGCAATCCGGGATCATGTCTGTGGTTCCGGAAATTTGGCAAGCTAATTCGTACAGTCCGTTTTTACTCCTCACGTGCTCCCATACTCAGATTACCCCGATTGAGGGTTCTCACAATATGATCGAATTAGTCAAGTGGAAGTAAGGAGAAAATTTTCTCCAGATTTCAAACACTAACCAAGACTACAGTTTTTCGTTGGGGGTCGGTCCTGATGACTCTAAACTAAAAGCTATTATATGCAGCATTGACCTTGACAATGAGGTTAACTGGGATTCTCTTCTGTTCTGTGTGACGGCTTCCATTCTATCAGCGACGACCCTAGGTGGTGCTGCCTGGATGAATGCCAGAGGATATCTTACTTCGTTCAGCTTTGGCGCACTTTCGGTGCCTAACTGCCATGCCAGCCAAAGGTTGCACGAGAGCTGGGATACTGCCAGGTTGCTCAAGCCTAGACAGAGGAAGTCGAGAGGCAGATGTCGGGTTCGCACCATGAAGCTTCCGGTCAGTAAATTCGCGCTCTAACCACTTGGGACATCTCGCCCCTATCCTAAGTATTTGTTCTGACCTTCTAGCTTACCAGTCCAGGCAGACAATGATCAACAATAATGTGTTTATTATTGTGACTGAGATGAGATTTTTTCTGGAGATCAGTGCGACGTATATATCCAGCATCATTACTTATCCTTTGGGGGGGGCGATATATACATAAGAATGAACAAAAACTCACTTGTGGAACAGCAAACAACTTCAACAGGCTAGCCACCGAAAGCGACACGTCACTGTAGGCCGGACCGATTAACGCTGTAATGGGCTTCTCCTCTACAGGGGGTGGGTCTACGCGTCCGCACACAGGACCACAAAAGCTGCTTATATTCAGCTGGAAAAATAAAGGCACATTTGTAGGCACACAGGTGCGTTGAAAGGTAAACCGCTGGAGTGAACAACTAGTGTAGATACATTGTCAAAAAGGCGAGCACCTGTGCATTCTGGTACACCTTGTGTCATCGGTATGCTTACTGTGGTTGGTTCAATCTAATGAAAATCTGCCAGAATTTTCTGGACCACGTCAGCTCTTAGATCACTCAGCCCAGCTCTCTGCGTACCCCGATAAATGCTTTATTCAACTCCAACAGGTTCTACATTTTAGATTCCGTGGGCTCATTCCCAAGAAGGGGTCACTGAGGAGCCTCGGGGGCGATAGGCAAATTTCTTGTGAGTTCATAAACCACGCAAGAGGAGGCGTTGTTATTGACCTTGTCATTGGGCGAGCAAACTTCACTGAGTTGTCGTTTCACAAAAACATTTATTACATCTGTATCTTTCATCTCTGAACCAGATGGAGTGATCAGAACACGGTTCCTTATAGCTGGGCCGACTATTGATTTAGAGCGTGGTCGAATGATTTGCTGTTCGTCCCAGGTGGATGTAGGACCCTATGATCAAAAAACACTTTCGGATGAGTTTTCAGTAAGAAGTTACATTTAAAGGAAGCCCAAACCCATCTTCGAATGCATAGATCACCCATTCCCGAAAACAAGCGTCTCGGGAAGGGAATGGTTTGCCGTCATGAAATTGACTTTTGGCGGGAACATTCCGCTTGCATTTCACCCTAGCTTGCGTTCTTCGCTGTTGTGCCCACATTCATCGTTATCTCTATCTGAGACCTGCATACCATGCCGCTAATGTGAATTGTGAAGTGACATCTACGATCGTAGTATAATAATTCGCTTTTTCATGTTATGCTTGTAGCAATTTTTTGCTATGTGGATCGAACCCAAAAGTATGTGGTACTGACGAGCATAATTAAGAGACGAACAGCCGCTCTCTTTTCCATAGGTCAGGTGTAATGGTATGCAACATCATAAACGAAAGATTCAGCTGGGTTCCAGATAAGTCTCTCGCAAAACCTAATTTGTTTGAAAATGAGTGTATCTCACGTTTGCTTATTCTTTGTAAGGTAAAAGTTGTTGTACACTATCAGGCAAAATAAATTTACACACAGTCAACCAGTAGTAAGCATAAGTGACAGACTGAAGGTTTATATGGGAGTTTGCGTCTCCATCTACTTTTTCCTTTCAGTTAATCTGTTCATCGTCAAACTATCATTGCCTTGTAACATCATTGTCAGTTTACTTTCCTCGATATATAGGCTAAGGCGAGTATAACGTTCTCAGTCAGTCGTGCGATTACACGTCTTCCCATCTAAACGCACCTTTTCGTGCGGATGAAAGAGCCAAAATTGCTACGTTGAGAATGAAAGCGTGTAGCCACCAGCTTTATGAGGCATTACCGTCGTATTCTCCGGCCCTCAACTTGGAAGCATAGAAAACCTAGCTGACTCCACCTGAGAGCCAGGATCACAACTCCTGAGTGTTCTAAAATAGCGTTTGTAACTTTTAACATCGCGTTGCTGGGTGACTACCACCCGTCAGTTGTTAATTGGTTCTCGCGTAACTGTTACCTTCATAACTACCTTAAACATTTCAAATTCTCTGGAATTTCGCAGAGATTTTCAGGCCGAAGGTAACGTTAGTTCTCACCTGTAGTTTCGTCCGCTCCGCAAACTGATGGAGTTACATTTTGACTGGTTATTGAATTGAACAAATCAACAGTGTCTCAATTAGAATACGCCATGTTCGACAGCAGAGCTAACCAGGAATTTCTTTTATCCAGACTCACTGTGTATAACTGCCTTGAGAATCAAAGGATAAGATAATCACGCCTGATTAGGTTGACTGATCTTATTTGACAATGTATTTGGTTCACCGTCTTGCATAGGAATGGTACTAACCAATTCAGGCAAGAACAAGTGACTGAAACGTTTGTTGGCTCTGTCTTGAGAAGTGCCAAAGCTTGAAATTCAAAAGTACACAGCATGTTGCCCTACTCGTTCAACAATATCAGCCTAAGAACAACATTACCATTAAACATATGATGGATGGAATACGTCTAAGGTATCCATTACCATCTGGACAATGCTGTAATCGGCAGCTCTCGGTAACGCTTGCACCATATTGCACTGAGTTGCGATATTAAGTAGGAGCGTAACAAATTGAAGGAAGAGGCCGGTATCTAGAATCAACAGGTAACTGGTAAAATTTTTATGCCATGAAGTTTAGGCTGGCTGACGTTTTGCGACTTGCCTCGGCATGTTCGCACACTGATTCTCTTCCTTTTGTTCTATATCATCACCTAGGGCTTTCATTCAGCAGGTTTCTCAGCTTATTGAGAACCGTCTGTGGTTTTTCTACTATGCACGGGTTTAGTGGTCTGACCACTGTCGACTGGCACATCGATTTCGGATGCCAGCCCTTTACACCCTATATATGTATTCCGGGTGCTTTCCCTTGGAACAAATCTAGTTTCTTCCTGGCTTCCGAAAAAGGACACTTCGAGAAAGCAGTGAATCCAGGTGACAGATTTACGAAAAGGATTCTAGCAAGACTACCTGGATCCGTGTAATGTCACCTAATCTCATCAAACTGAGTACTTAGTGGTAGAAAAATTGATAGTAGGCAATCAGCGTCAAAAGGACGAGAGTTAGAAGGAAAGCCGTCGGATGTGTGTAACAATGAGAAGTGAGAAAAATATAATAATTTACAGGGTACAAGGGATGGGGTGGTATGAACAGAAATCTAATACGGATTGAGGAAGTGGAATGGCCGAGTGGGTCTGATGTTCAATCTAGACCCACACAGATAGATCTAATGATAACACAATTTCCACCTAAAAGCTAAGTGTTACAAAAGCCTTGAATTGTAAGTAACTGCACGAGCAGAGTTGGTAGCGAAAATTTTCGACTAATCATTTAAAAGTTCCACTTCATCGTTCAGAATCGAATCTGTTATAGAGGTGACGTTTGACTGCAAAGCGCCAAAATTACAGGGGATTCACTTCGCATACTAGGTACCCTGGCAGCGTCCAAAGGACTTAAGGGCATTCACTAGCATCTTGCTCAGATTAAGTTAGAGTCGTAGGCTAAAATGGAATGCCCGAATTATGATACCAGAGTCAACCTGCTCTAAACATTCAGATGATAACATTCAAAGGGTGGGATCACACACACATAAAACACGATACAGTAGATACATGTAATGCAAATAACATGTTCCGCACAATGTTTTTTAAACTATCTGCTATCGTTTGCTTGACGTCCCAGTACACATATAGTTAGCACTGTTCGTCATCCGTTTGCCACAGGCTTTATCAAGGGGCTATTGGTTTCTTCAACTATTATTTTAGTTCACACTGAGCCTCCTAACTGTTGTCTCGTGTAGGATGATCTAAGCACGCATTTTGGGAAGAAAATATTGACTTGTGAACAATATATCTAAATTTAGGTAGGCAATTTGTAGTTCTGTCATAGTTTGAGCTGATATTTTCTGGTTGACTGTTAGGCACCGATTTTGGATTTCGAACCAGAACCTCTTCACAAAACAGTACGTTGCTTGAACAACAAAAAATTCTAAAAGGCTGTTTTGTAGTACGTGTGTTTGCATAGTTGGTACTCACTCCGATGAAGCTTAGCGATTGTCGCAGCGCGATTTCTGCATTACTGAAGGAGTCAAAAACAATCGCACCCAGGGTGTAATTCAGATAGTTTTTGCGAGAATTTATCGCATCTATAGTAGATAAAATCGCCTCCAGGAACTGGAAAAAGAAACAAAAAACGCGATATTTGTAATTGAATTTTATTTGTGATGCATTCTGTCGTCAAATTCTTGAAAGAAAAGAAATTTTATGCTTTTCGTATCAGAGACCATTAAACACGCGTTGACTGACGCATTCAGTCGCCATCAAGACAATCTAGCTTAGTTTAGCTGACAAACTAAGTACATTCAAAGACGGAAGTTTGCAGGCGTAGCACCTCCAAATTTATTGGTCAAGGATTAGTTTCTTAACCTAGCTAGTTCCTCCTGTGAACCAAGCACAAACGTAAGTGATGGATTCTACAACATGATATTTTTCACCAAACAGAAGTTCGGCGGAGCCGTTGGTTAGCCAACAAAATCAAACTAAGGAAGAACCTTGATCGTGTTATTCTTTGCAAGATTGCTCTGTATGCAACCTTTTGAGCCATTCAACTAACATAAATAGTAAATACACTGCAGATGAGTGATCAACTGTCGGTCTATAGTTTGCGTGATGGAAACAGGTACGCACGAGAGAGCAATGGACGCACAGAACCACAGAAACATTGAGGACATCGCCAGTAACAAGCCGTGATCCGGGAAAGTTGGTAAGACTTCAAAGAGCAACTAAGCAATTCGCAAAATATCTTTTTTGGCATTCTTTGGCATTCGTCTTCGAAGGCCTTAAGGATCGAGAAATCTCCCGTCCGCGTCAAGCGTAGTGATAGGTTATATGAATGAGCGAGCTCTAGGGCCACTGCTTGGAGAAGATACTCTATAACAGTTTGTCTGGTTCCTCCACCAGCCTGGTAAAAGCTCTACTGCACTTCCATTAAGAGAAAAGTTAGTCGAGTATCCATTGTTCATCTACCTGGTCTTATTCTATGACCAGAAAGCTTACGTTATGTTTACTATCAACCTCAGCTGACAATCAATAAACCCAACACGTACATTAGAACGACGAGGTCACTAGTCAAACAGCCGCCCTGAAAGCATGACAGTGGCCAAACAACCGCTATCCGATCAAATTTGTCGTATGCACAATCAAGCAGACTCACTTTGAAACCCAAAATTGTCACTTCCGGTTCCTGGCTAGGCGAGGATTCCCAAAGACTGTGTATGGGTACAAAAACTCCAAGCATCACATCACCATTGTAAATAAACGGTTCCCAGTATTTAACTGCACAAGTGAGTTTGACCAATTTATACTGAGTCAGACAGCATAAAACAACGACAACCAGTTGGAGTAAGAATGAGCGGACTTGCATTGTGAAGCGACGTATTGTCACAGCCTAGCTCGCTCACATACCACTTTTCTGATGGCAATCTAAGCCTGTGAACAAATTAGGCACAACTTAGGCCAATAATGAACCCCAAAGTTCGATTCCGAAGGTCACTTTGCATTTCACGTGATGGATATGAAGGCAACCGCAACAGAGTCAACAAAGTATGTGATAGTACCTGCCCACGCTTCAACATATCATTTGATTATTTTTTCACCATCGAAACAATCATCAACATCAATGACACGTTGGAAATCAGGCTCGGTAAAAAACAATAGGATCGTGGTCAGCCCGACCACGTTCCCAAATAACTATGTATTCAACCAGGACTGAGTTTTATTCAAAGCTCGCGTGTGACGTAAAGTAGTTCTGGTTCTAATCTTTTCCCGTCAGATTTTTAAACAATGGTTTCTCGTTATTCTCAGATACATACCACTTGGAATTTAACCCTATGGTCGCACAAACCTACAGTTGACAAATTACCATCTTTGTAGTGTCTTATACACATATACCAGAAGTCACTGTGAAAGATACATACCACTCGAGGTGTAGAAGGTTGGAGTCAAATTGCATTTTGAAACACAAGCCACCTAACACTGTGGTAATGGCATTCCGAGTATTTTGTCAAATGACAACAAAGATGGGACGCACCAGAAATTTTCCTCCACTTGCATCCTTGTATAATGCTACCAGCGAAAGGAAGAAGGCCTTCACTGCGGAGTTATTTATTGGAAAATGCCGGCTGACCAGTTACAGAGTATTGGACAGAGAAGCAGAACTCTTATTTGTATCTTATTTACAAAAATTGGACATTCATCTTCTGCTGAACGCGTCTTCTTGAACTTTCCTAGATATTCATTGACTCCAATCATTCACTGCTCAAATAGAAGCAAGTGCTACAAAGCAGCTCCACAAATTCCGCAACAGATCTCGCTTTTCAAGAGACGCAAAGCGAATTTACAAGAACACATACTACTCGCATGCCTCCCCGTCAGTAGTATCACCGTTACGCCAGGATTACCCTGGGTTATGGTGGCCTTGCTGAGATTTCAAATAAATTTATTTTGTGCCGTAGGACAACTGGTTTGGTTGTTTGTTTGTGTCGTAGTTGTCCGGTACCGTCGCTGAGTCTTCTTCTAAAGTTCCGTGGACAGCCACTGTATTTGATCTAGAGAGACTTCTCACATTATTTCAACTCCAATGTAACGTCGAACAAATTGTGGAGGCAGCTTACTATGTGGTCCACCGGGTATTTGGTACTTGGTCCGCATGTATTCTTCCCAATGAAGCAAGATTGAAGATCTCTTTGCGAAAGCCTGCTAATAAGTACGTTCAGTAGCTGACTGTACCCTTCAAATTCACCAGTAAGGTTGATATCTTCAGGTATAGTGTGCTGTCTACTGTAATCCATTCTTTAATGACGAAAAGGTTTTTCACGTGACGAGGCCGAAATATGGGATTAATTATTGATGATAACATGCGCTGCAATTTCTGCATTACCGCTCCGGCCGAAAAATGGAATCGGTAGTCCCGATGGGGTTATTTTTATGCGTTAATATTTGTCCACTGAAGTTTTCCACGTTGAAGTTGGGAGCTTTGAGTATATTTTTTCAATCGCATTGGCGGGTGAGCTAGACAGATTTTTGAACCCAACCGTCGCCGTTGGGGAGTTTAACCTTCCTCGTGAGTTTCCCCAGTTTTTCTTCTAATTTTAACCGAATTCTGATGTGGTCCATCCAATTTTTGCAAATCATTGTGGGCCGATGAAAGTACAGCAGTTTATCATGCTTTCGTTTAAGGCTTTCGTGCTTTCTTTGTGATGATTAGTTCCATTCTTCGTAGACCATGTTGCTTAGTCAGTACCCAGACACACGGATGGTCTATTGCCGGTCTATGTTCGGTCAATTTCGGAAGTAAGTTTCTCCGTAGGCACTTATGGAATGCTCAAGACCAAAGTTCACCTGCACGCTGGTCAATCAGTGGGTGGATCAAGAGCGACTATTCAAACGACCAGGCATAATCGAAGTACTCCTCTGTCAACAGGACACACCGAAGTACCGCCAAAGAATCACGTAACGATAATTTACGACATACTTATAATGTCACATTTGCTGGTGACAAAACATTTATACCAGAAAGGCCCAGCTAGCCGACCAGAGTTTTACCAGTCCCGAGCATTCACATTGGAATAAGTTGGGACGAATCACTGAAATAAGGACCCGTCTCTTCAAGGAAAGCTTGAATATGGATACGGGAGTACGGGCACTGGTAAAGTTCTCAAGGGAAATTGGCTGTAAAACGGAGCGCACATCAAATTATGTTTGATGCTGGACTTGGTATGCACGGCGCCTAATGTTTTCTACCAGGCTTTTTCTCACACACTACACCTCCAAAATAGTGGCATTTTCCTACTAGATTACTTAGCTAAGGACACACCCGTCAGCTGACTGCAACTAGTGTTATATGCATGCGGACGTGTCAATGTATAGGACAGGATGACATTGAAAGTTAAGGAGCGCAACTCCTGTGGCACAAGTCTTCTAAACAATAAGCACGCACACACCACTAATGCAGGGGATCGAAGTCCAGCCAAGTGAGCTTGTAACCCAATAGTAAACTAACATTACCATCGGAGGACTTATTGCAATGCACCACTCAGTTGTAAGACTCATCTCCATTCAAACTGGTTGCACAGTTATACTTAAGAATATGTTGTTCAAATGTTCCTGTTTTGTAGCAGGAAGGAATAGTTTCGACTTAGACAATATGTAGAGGCAGGCCGAGGTTTTGCAGGCCACCGTTTCGGAACCGCCTCCCTACCTGGACTGTGCTAACATTCTATCTCTACTGAACTCTGCGAAGTTCCAGTAACGTATTTTGTGAATATGCCACTCCTAATATTTGTAGGTTGAAGAAAATCTCCCGGTCCAATACATTCTTGTCGTCAGGTAACCTCAAAAACGAATAGAAAGCAGTGTATACTTTTGACCACCCGAATACATAAAATCCGTTCTGATGAGGATCTGACTGCATAAGTAGTTTGAAGGAAGTTTAGTTCTCTTAGACTACCTATAGGTTTTGACTTGGAGATGATTCGTGAGGCAAACCCTGGAGCAACTCACTTGTGAGATAGATTTCACCGAAGACATTTTCTATGCACTATGCAAAATGAGTGCCCATTATTATTTTCCGAACTTCCTTGGAGCAGACGCAACAACTACTTCGAAATTTTACACGGCCGAAGGAATGTGGCTATCCAAACGTTGATAAGTTAGTGAAACTGAAAAATGAACGTACATGCTAATAAATAAGTATAAAAAACCAAAAGCAGTCCAGAAAGACAGACCGTGTCTCAACTCAACGCACACTGAAAAATCATTTCCATATATGGGACATTGCGGAGTACCACGCATTGATGAAAAACGATACCTTTTCATGGTAAGTCTATACGAATGAAGCTTGTGGGGAGTAGTCCAGTAAGGAAATTACTGCACAGTCACTACAAATCCCAGTTCTCAGACAGGTATGAAAGAATTTGCAGATGATATGATAAACCAGGACCATGTTTAGGACCCTAGTTCCTCAGTTTTCATAAATCGAAACAGACTAAAGTAATCTCATTAGGAAGCATTGGGGAATAAAATACTTGCACAACAACCCACCCATAGCATAATCTACGCGCAAGAAACCTGGGCAACTTGAAAAATCCCGTTCCATTCCGTCCATTTCCACAACTGCGGAATGTTAACATCCCGAACTCATTTTGACAGTCGCACACTAAAAACTGTCAAGATCTTATGACCGAAATGGTGATTAGCTAATGGACACAGTCAATGCATGTGCAAATCGCACACTTCTGTCTTTTGCTTGCCTGGCCCATGGTGATTGACGACCACTGCTTGGCTGAACGCCAACATGCTCGGGCCAGGATTATGGAACAATGCATTGAAAGATGTTCTGGAATCAATCCGAATAACCGTGACGTTATGTCTTGTCTCAGCAGGATTCCAACTTTGCGAACCTTGGGAGTGTTTTTGTGTCGACGGGTCCCAGTGGGTTGTTTGCAGCACTGACAATCCAAACACACGCTGCGAGAATGTAACTTTCACTCCATCCGAGGTCCATACTACGCACCAGTTTTGTGTATGCATGACATTGCATACATACCCGATGGGGGGTGGATATTCTACCAACTCAACATTGTGCCAGAGACTTCTTCCAGCTTGCACACATTGTGAACCATGTATCTAGAAATACAAAAACACTTAGTAGGTAGATAACTAAGGAACTCTCATGTACCGCTTCCATTGTTTAATTTTACAGCTGATTACGAGATGCCGGAGATACTTGGCTTTTAACAAACGGGCTTAGTTTGGCCAATTTTTGGCGCATATTCTAAATGGGCGCCTCAACTATCCTGTTTCTCTTGGAACAAAAAATAACGATAGTCACAAGTTTTTGTTAATCAGAAGACAATACGGCAATCTTGGACGTTCACAGTACCGTAGACAAAAATGAACTGCGCAATATTTATAATTCTTTCGTTCTACTTCAAAGGCTTTCAAAAGAGGTCTGGTGTGATCCAAAGTTCGTTTCAGTATACCAGACGAATATATGCGTTTGCTTCGCGTCGGAATGAAGACATTTTAACCGAATGTTTTGCCTTCCACAGTAGATCACGTTCACAACCAGGAAAAATACACGCGTCAAAGGAGAGAGATATTCTCATTGGACTGCATTTCAAATAAGACCACTTTGCCACAGCTTCTAAACAAAAACTCTGCGCTGCAGTCGATATCATTTATCCAGCCGCCCGGGTATTCCTGCTGTTACACAGGGGCAATTCAAATTGAGGGGGAGAAGGCCTAACGAACGCAAGATATCTAACCAACCTCGCACATCGCGTCACAACTAGCATGCTGTCGCGGGGCCTATGTGAATGCGCCATGGAACGCGTACCAAATCACTTGAGTCAGATGACTGAAAACTCGACCAAGGCTGGGTTGACCCCAGAGCAT